CATCCTGCAAGATTCTCACTTGGGAAAGGACTCCAGTTTTGAGGACTGCTTTATCTAAAATTCTAAAATGAGATCATTTAGATTTTAACCACTTGGAAAACATGAATTAAACTGCCAAGTTTTAACTTTCTGTTCCAGATTTAAGAACTTTCTTTTTCTGTAATTTTTGCCTGTACTTTTGGCTTTTGTGTGTATGTGCGCATGTGTGGGTGGGAGGCCAGAGGTCTATGTTAGGTGTCTTCATCTATCACTCCCTTATTTTCTATAAATTTTTATAAATTTTTTATTTTTATTTTATGTGATTGTTTTGCCTGCGTGTAAGTTTACCTTGCATCATCACACTGTCCACAGAGGTCAGAAGAGGGCCTCAGATCCCCTGGAACTTGAATTATAGTCAGTTATTAGCTACCATGTGTTAATTAACTGAACCCAGGTCCTCTGCAAGAGCAGCCAGTGCTCTTAACTACTGAACCAGCTCTCCACCTTATTTTTTGACCCAGGATCTCTCACACCAGTTCAGCCACACTGTCTGACAAGCAAGCTCCCAGGGATTCTCCCATCTCCACCTTCCCAGGCTGGGATTACAGGCTCTCGCCATTCAGCATACATTCCTGTGCCCAGTTTTTTTTCATGTGTGCTAGGACTCAACCTCAGGTCCCCATGCTTACATGGCAAGCACCAAGCAATGTGCAACCCCTACTTTCTTTTTCCTACCAGCTCCCCGGATAAAAAACTTGATTGCTGTGACTTGGAGTTTATAGAGTGAAAAAGCATTTGCACATCCATGCCCAATTTTCACTATGTATACACAGTTCTGTCACAAGCCCCTTAGATTATCCCTGCATCCAGAAATAAAATATCCACAGATGTGAGATAGCCAAGGGCAGATGGACTTCCCAATTTAGCGCAAGAACCAGTCAGCAGACTCAAGCCCTGGAAAAGACTTAGTCTCTGCCTAGGGGATCAGGAGTAAGGAAGTTGGAAGCATTTCAGATTATCATCTGGCAGAGGGTACAGCTTATATTCTTGGGCATGGATCTGAGGATACATTTTTCTGTTTCCTTTAAAACCAACCCTAATTGAGTACTGTATCTAAAACCTTCTCTCCCTTTCTATGTTCTCAGATTACTTTTTTCTGCTCCTAACGTAAGCTCCCAAGCATGTACCCTCCACTATCGTGGTTGATCTTGTTCAGTCAAGAACAATATTTTTTTCATCAGTGAAGTTGATTTACCTATTGAGTAGTCTGTTGGTAGTTAAGGAATTAATGTTAGAGAGAGTACCTGGATCCATCTCTCATTTCAGCTCTCTGAAAATAGCATAAGCATTGACCACCCAGCATTTATGTTAACCACAGGAATGCTTCCTTCAGCAATTTGAGTATTGCGGTATTGACTAAATAGGAGAGTTCAGCTGTACCTAACCCCTGATCTAGTAAAACCTCATGAGTAAATCATTAAAGATGGGGTTGTGAAACAACACATCAGGTTTAAAACTGCCTTTTACAATTTTTATGAATATTATCTTATCCTTTACCACGCCCTTCTGAATTAGACACTGAGCAAAAGGTAGACTGTGATCAAGGTCATGCAGGCCATTTCCCACCAAGGAGATAAACTCTAGACTAATTCTGACTTGGAAGTTAGGTGTTCCCCCCCCCCTTTTTTTTATAGCTCTTCCTCCAATTTACCAATCCCTGTGATCTTAATGCACTTTGGTGGTGGTATTCAAGTATTTCTGCTTGATAAATAATTCACTTAGTAGCTATTACAGGGAGGCCTCCTGTTGAGCAAAAATAACATGAAGTCAGACAAGTGATTTCAACATCTGTGATGAATTTTTGTGTAAAAATCTTATTTAGTCAGGTCTGAAGAACATATGATACAGACTAATCACTGAACCACAGCATTGTAGTTTCCCCTTTGGTAGAATGAAGAAACCGTCTGCAAGACAAATTTGCTCTATTTTGGGTTCCTTGCTAGTTGCCTAGGAGTAAGAAAGTTAAGGCAAGTGCTGTATATGGACTCTGTTAAAGATCAAGGACTTCTTGGAATAACTAAATGCAAAGGTAAAAATCAGCCATTTAAAACTTGGGCAAAACAGTCATTTGAAACTAACACCCATTTAAAAAAAAACAAAACATGAAAAACACAGTAAATAGATGTAGACGTTAACTTTTTAAATTATCCAAATGATAAAAACTTCAAATTCATCTAAATTTAGTTCCTCTCAAGAAAAATTTAGGGGGAAAAAAGAAGGTAGTAATTTAGAAGCACAGCCTAAAGTGATTTTATTACTATAGTTGTAAAGTTGGCTTATTATAACAGGGCCATTTAATGATTGCTGGACAAAGGTTAGGGTTAATGTGCAGGCTCCCAGCTCCAAGGAAGCTACTAACAGGCTCCTGCCTATGTGTCCAGATTGCCTACAAAACATCTCAGATTCAGAGCCTTAACTAAGAACACCTCACTTGGCACCCCCTCAGCCACTGTCCTCCATTCTCTGCTTGTGTCCTAATGTGAAAGCTACTACTGCTTCCCAGGAAAGACCCCTGTGTCAGAAAAACAAGGTGGTGATGGGAGAGGGAAAGAAATGTGTTCAGAGATAATGTGATTTTGTAAAGGCTGTGATTTTTAGCTGAGGGCTGACAAGATGGCTTAGCAGGTAAAGGCACTTGCAACCAAGCCTAATGATGAGTTCAACCCTGGGAACCAGCGTTTTGGAAGAAGAGAACAGACTCCTGCAAGTTGTTCTCTCACCATACTTGTGGCACGGCACACATGCACTTGCATGCACACACACGCGCGCACACACACACACTAAAATATTTTAAGAAATTAGCCAAGTGTGCCTATAATCTCAACACTTGGGAGGTAGAAGCAGGAGAATTAAGTATTCAATGGCTAGCCTCAGTTACATAACAAGGTTAAGATCAGTCTGGGAGGCAAGTCCTTGATTGCTCTTGCTGGGGTATACTACCACACCCACAATCCTAGCACTCAGAACATAGAGGCAGAAGGATGGATACAAGTTCCAGGCTAGACTGGTCTGTATGGCTAGTTTCAGACTAGGCAGGACAATATTGGGATACCCTGCCTCAGAAAACAACCCTCCCCCCAATAGAATCAAAGATAGCTCCACGGTTAAGAACACTTGCTGCTCTTCCAGAGGACTCAGGTTTGATTCCCAGCACTCACATGGCAGCTAACAACTTGGTATAACTCCAGTTCCTGGGGACCTGTCACCCTCTTCTGGCCTCTGCAGGCATTGTACAACACAGGTACACTTATACAAATACAGGCAAAACACTCATACACATAAAAAAATAATAAAAATATATTTTACAAAAAAGAAAGCCAAGGTTCAGAGAGATTAAGTAATTTGACCATGACCTATGTAAGAATAGAAGTTGACTCTCAGTGTCTCACGTCCTGCTCCTGTGTGCCCTTTCCATTGTAACTGCAGTTCCAGTGGGAAGGTAGGTGATGTGGGCTGCCTACAGCCAACCTTCCTGCCCAGTAGGTAAAATTCAAAGATGGAAGATGAGAAGAATTAGCTAGAAGATGTTGTCAAACAACATCATGTTCAACATGTATTAGCTGCCCTCTTGTGCTCTGCCTTGCATATACCTGCATATACTGTCAAATATAGTCTCCTGAAAAATTACAAAGAAGGGTAAGAGATTGTGCCAAACTCTGGGTTCCAATCATGTGGGCCCAGCAAAACCTTGGCATCCAAAAAACACAAAGCATGGCTGTCTCAACATGCTATGCCTATTTCCAGCCTTGAATCTAAAATTGGCCTTTCCCACCACCTGGGCTTCCTGAGTTAAGCTCTGAGAGTTTGTTCCAGATAACAGGAAAATGCCTCACATTGGGGGAACAGTTTTATGTAGAACAACTTGTGTGACTGTAAAGTGTTTACTGACTCGGGTTCTAGGAAATGTGTAGGTGGGGCTTGTGTGAAGATAACCTTGCATTTGTTATCTTCATTGCTACCTTGCATTGGCAAAGCTTGTAGTTTACAATTCATATCTGTTCCCACTGCACATCTACTTTCTCACTAAAAGCTACAATTCAGAATCTGCTTGTCAGTCTGCTGTTGAACATATCTAAAATGTGAAATCTTTTATTTGTTTGCGCCCTAGTCTGTATCATTGTTAGCAGTTCTCCAGTCAGTATTTCTGAGAAATCATCTTAAAACCATTGACTTCTCTAAGTACGTGTTAACTGATGTTTGTAAGGCAGTGTGTCTTAATTTTTGTCTTAAGCAAAAGTACAAGTTTGAATATCCCTAAAATGCTTGGATCAGAAGTGTTTGGGATTTTTTTTTTCAGATTTTAGAATATTTGCATATTTCTACATAATAAGATATCTCTTAAAGTGGGGCCCAGGTCTAATCACAGAATTCATTTATGTTTCACGTACACCATATAGATACAGCCTAAGAATAGTCTTAAACAGTGCCCTCAATAATATTGTAAAGAAAATAGTTTCAAAGTATGTGATTTTTCCACTTATACCACCATGTCAGCACTTGAAAAGTTTTGTATTTTGGAGATTACAGATTTTTGGATGAGGGACACTCAGTCTGTATGAGTCGACCAGATGGAGTTAATAGTGTGGCCAAATTTATTTTTAATACTTCTTTTAAGAACTATTTCTGAATGATCACTTAGAAACTTTGAAGAAGGGCTTGAAGTGCAGCTCAGTGGTCAAGCCCTTTGCTGTCATCACCCGGCCCTCTGCTTGATCCCTAGCACCACAAAAGCAAAACATACCTAAGATGTTGCTACTGAAACATTGTGAGGATATAACAGACTGGCTTTATACTTTATTCCTTATCTATTGAACCAAAGAAAATGACAGATTTGGAAGCAATTTTAGACAGAATGTTCCCTTCTCTTTATAATATGAGTAGCATCTATCTGTTGAATTTCAAAATGTAAAAATGATTCTTTGGGAAATGACCATACTAATTCCTTCTTTCTCTTTGTCTAGTGAGAACTCAGCAGAGGCACTAGCAGTAGATTCTAACAATCAGACGAAATCCCCACTGGAGAAGTTTATGGTCAAACTGTGCACTCATCATCAGAAGCAATTCATTCGAGTCCTGAGCGACCTATACACTGAGTCTCAGCCAGATACTGAAGACCTGCAGCCTTTGGAGTCCACAGCAATGGATGACTCTACTTGCAGTGCCGGCTGTGCCCAGCTGAGCAGCAGACAAAGGGAAAAAGATACTGTGTGTGTCCATGAGAAATCCCCTACTTCTGTACATTTGTTCCTAGACTCTTCGGGCTCTGATAGCTCTCTGCATGTGACTGAACAGACCCTGAAAGAGTCACCTCTTGAGACAGACTCTGTAGACGAAAGAGAGAATATCTTGACCATTGTCCAGAAAGATTCCTCTGAACTTCCAGCCACTCACCCTCATTCTGGCAGTTCAGTAGATAGCTCCAATGTGGGATACCTCACTGCATCAAATTCTTCCTTGTTGAACTTCCACTACAGCTCTAAAAGCTTAGAGGGGCAAACCACTGGACAGGAGCAAGACACAAATGTGAAAGCCTGTGAGGGCAGTAAAGACCATGCTTCAGCCTTTGGAGAAAGTTTAACTGCAGTAAAAATGGCCGCTGACAATGCTGAGGGCGACAGCTGTATTGTTTCTCAAAGAAATTCATTCAGAGCTTTATCAGAAGAGAGGCGGGATTCAGGGTTTATGGGAAACTCACCTAGTACTGCAGACAAAGAGAATGCTTTACAGTGTAGCTCAAAAACACCTTTGCACCAGGATTTAGAGGCAAATGAACAAGATGCAAGGCCAAAGCAAGAGAACTGTCTTTACTCACTAGGAAGAAATAAGGTGGGTTACCAGTCACACCCCAGTGACAAGGGCCAGTTTGATCATTCCAAAGATAGTTGGTTAGCTCCCAGCCCCTTGCCAGCTATACACAGAGCATCTAATGGACACTCACGAACCAAGATGATACCAACTTCCATCAAGACTGCTAGAAAAAGTAAGAGGGCCTCAGGGTTGAGGATAAATGATTATGATAACCAGTGTGATGTTGTTTATATCAGTCAACCAATAACAGAGTGCCACTTTGAGAATCAAAGATCTATATTGTCTTCTCGGAAAACAGCCCGAAAGAGTACTCGAGGATACTTTTTCAACGGTGATTGTTGTGAACTGCCAACTGTCCGCACACTGGCCAGAAATTTACACTCCCAGGAAAAAGGGACCTGCTCACCACTGGCATCAGAGGCAGTGGTGACTCCCAGGCAGACCCTGATGGTTCCCACCTCAAAGCATATAGAAGATGTGCAGCTTCCCACAGTAGACAGGCAGCACCCAGAAGAAGATACTGAAGAGCCTAGGAAGGAGAAACCCTCCCTTGAGGAAGGAGGAGAGGACACAACATCAGCAAAAGAGCAGCAAGAGCCAGAGATTTGCCCCACCATGAGCGAACCTGATCCTAGCAGCTCTCCTAGGGCAGCAGAGAAAACAGCTTCTAGTGTGGTGTATCCTCTACCTGCTCCCCTCCCTGATGAGCATGTGCCAGACATACTGGAAGGCAACACTGCTGTTTCAACTCCCACAGCAGGTGCTCTGTCTTCTCCTGAGCAAGACCAACCACCAGCTGCCCTGCCTGGTACAGAGGAAATTCAGGCACTCCAGGAGTGCTTCCTGGCTCCCACCACTGAAGGCATCTCTGGGGAAAGCAGTAAAGATCTCTTCCATATGTCTTCTCCTGAAATAATCATCAAAGAAGACAGTTCTCTGTGCTCCGACAATGAAAGCCCTAATGTGGGCCTAGATCCTCTCATGGGTCTTGAAAAGGCTGAGCATGACCAAAGGATCAGTATTGAGGCTGGGTCTGAAGACACCCCCGAGGAGGCACTGGTGGTAGATGCCACCCCGCCCCTGCTGGAAAGTAGCACCTTCACTGATGAGAACCCCAGTGAGGCTGAGGGAGGCAAGGCAACAGGTGGTGTAGGACAACCAGAGATAGAAGACAGTGATGTAAAGTGCTCTTCAGAAAATGATGTGTGTGAACTGAACATTGACTCACCCGAAGAGAATGCAGACAAGAAGAAAAAAGGCAAAAAACTCCCTGAGGCCTCTGATAGGTGCCTAAGAAGTCAGCTTTCAGAGTCAACCTCTACTTGTCCTGAAGTCAAGGTTTCTAAAAATCCTGGTGCAAAGCGCTCTAAAAAGGAAGGGCTCCCTGGTGGAGCAGCACCTGAGGGCTCTGTGATTGACAGCATCCTTGTAGACGATCTAGAAAATGATCTAGAAAACGCCAATGTCATTGAACAGGTCTCTGAGGAAGAGACCAAGCAGGAGGGTGAAGGAGCTGGGATCATCACCAGGCAGACGTTTAAAAACATGCTGGCAAAAGAAGTCAAGAGGGAAGAAGGGGACATTTCCCCCAGCAGTGATCCCACAGCCACAGCTGGCCAGCCACTGCCTGAGGAAAGACTGGAAATCTATGTGCAGTCCAAGATGGATGAGCGAGATGCACGTGTCCCCTCAGAAAGCATTCCTTGTGAGAGAGACCCAGAGCAGTTGAAAGAGAGGGAAGGACACAGTCCCACACAGGATGTAGAAATGGTTGTAAGTGAGGTAGATGCTGAGGACACCCACTATAAAGATGATGCTAGCTTTTTTCCATCTAGCTCAGCTGGAATGTCAGGTAGTCGGAGTGATGATGCTGCTGGGCCACCAAAATTGGTAGCAAGGTCTAAGAGATTACCTTCTTCCACCTACAACCTCAGACATGCCCATTGTATGGACACCTTGGATGCCACAAAAGTTACCCCAGAAGTAAACCCAGCAGCAAAGGAAAAGGAGGCTTCTGAGAGTGCAGAGCCCCTAGATGAGGAGGATGTGGACATGGTGGTAGAGGAGCAGCCCAGGTTTGTGGAATGGTGTGCTGAGGAGGAGAATCAGGAGCTTATAGCCAACTTCAATGCCCAGTACCTGAAAGTTCAGAAGGGCTGGATTCAGTTGGAAAAAGAAACACAGCCAACAGCAAGAGCAAGGAGCAAGTCAGACAAACTGAAGGAGATCTGGAAGAGCAAGAAGAGGTCACGGAAGTGCAGGGGTTCATCAGAGGCTCCGAAGTTTTCTCCCATTCAGATGCTGTTTATGACAAACTTCAAACTATCTAATATCTGTAAGTGGTTCTTAGAGACAACAGAAACTCGGTCTCTGGTCATTGTGAAGAAGCTTAATACTCGTCTTCCCGGAGACATCCCCCCTGTTAAGCACGCTCTTCAGAAGTACTCCCCTTCCACCCTGTACCCCAGTTCCCTGCAGGCCGAACGCTTGAAAAAACACTTGAAGAAGTTTCCTGGAGCCATACCTGCTAGGAATAATTGGAAAACACAGAAGCTCTGGGCTAAACTGCGAGAGAATCCTGACCAAATGGAACCAGAGGCCAGCAGGGACACCAGCCTGGGCCCTAACTGTGAAGACAGCGTGGAAGAAGTCAAGGAAGGTAGAAGTAGCCATCCTCCCACAAACCTGCCTACTCCAGCCAGCACCCGAATCCTTAGAAAGTATTCCAATATTCGAGGAAAGCTCAGAGCTCAGCAGCGCCTGGACAGCTCACCGGGTGTGGCTGCAGAAAGTAAGCAGGGCCGAAAGAGTGTGTGCATCAACCCTCTGATGTCACCGAAGCTTGCCCTTCAGGTGGGAACAGACGGGTTTCCCATCAATCCCAAGAGTACTGAAGGAAGCAGAAGAAGAGGGAAGATGATGCCTCAAACCTTGCTTAAAGTGGAAGGTCAGAACAAACGCAAGAGAGCAGAAGGCGCCCAGGACAGTAAGGACAAGGGGCGGGTGACAAAAGCCAGCAAAGAGAAGCATATGGATACCCCTGCCAGAACACTTTCTGCCAAGAAGCTAGCTGCAAGGGAAAGAGTCAACCAACTGCCCAAGAGGATGACCTTGAAAGAGAATAAAGTAAGGATCCGTAAAAAGGCCCCTAGGAAGAGCAGCCTTCCATCCAGGAAAGAAAAAGAGAATGCAAACAGAAGACCTAGCCAGCCAGTTGCTGCCTCTGAAGCACTGACAAAACCTGCAAAGCCAAAGGGGGCAGGGGAGGCCTCTTCAAGGCCCCAGAAAGCCAGAAACAGGAACCACAAACTGAGCAGTGGCAGGAACAGGGCCAGACCCTTGACAAAAAACCCAGAGAACCGGGCTGCCCAGAGAAAGAGAAAGCTCAAGGCCAAGCTGGACTCTTCCCAGGGCAAACGAAGGCGACTTGATGCCAAGTGATGCATGGCCCTTGAGAGAGGAGCTGGCCTGTAGACGTAACCTTTTATTTTGCATTAACTAAGTCTGCTTTTATAAGCTTATCAAGCCTTTCAAATTACAGTTATGGAGAACACAGTTTTGAGATGTCAGAAAATGTGTCTCAGGTGGAGAAGGGAAGTTGCAGAGTCCTTCTCTGAGGCTAAGGGAAGTTATATATTATATTCTGGTTGTTCCTTGGGTTTTAAACTTGGAACCAAGCAGTTTTCATTTTAAAAAGTACAGTGCCTTATTTATCCTTTTTTGTTTTTAAATTTACAAAAGCTAAAAAGCTGATCTGTGTGATTAAAGGCTTGTATTTTATACTTGATGCACAAGCACTTGTACTGTAGTCGAGAAGACCACCACCACACAAGAGCGAGGAGCCGCCACCAGCCACCCTGCGCCCGCCCCAGCACAGGCACCCCTTGCAGACCGCAGCACAACTCCCCTGTCGTCTGGTTTTCTTTGAGCTAAACCAAATCATTTCTATGGTATGTGGAGAATGCAGAGGATTTATAATTATTATAAAAAATTAGTATTTCTGTTACCTTTCTAAAAATCATTGATCACCCCCTTCATCTTTTTTTTTAATCATTTGAGAACATGTTCTCTAATTTATGTACCCATGGGATGAAAGATGTCTTACGAATGTTAATTTTGGATTTATGACCTCCAGAAATTATTTGTTAACCCCAAACACTTATTAACACTTGCCATCCTCTTCAGTTTGGGGCCTGGCAAGCAGGAGTTCTAAGGAGATTTTATTCCTATTTTGTTTAAAGTTCTCTATGCTTTCATCTTGTAGCTATAATTTGACCATTAGGGTCAGAGTGATGCTTCTTATTCCCTTTCTTTCTCAGAGTACTTCCCTAATCAGTGAGAGCCAAATTGTAATAGGAAAATTAATTTAAATTGTGTACACATGCCTTTGGGCCCATTTGCATGTGGTTTTCCCCTGCGGATGTCTCCCAGCACTGGTCTCACAGTAAAACTTCTTCCCTATGCAGCATATCCATGAGTTGAGTAATTAATTAGCACAGGCCAGAAGGGTTGAAAGTGGTCCAGTGTCTCCATGCACATCCCTAATACGACTTCCACATCAGACTTGGAGAGGTGTGAGTAGCAGCCTTGAGAGGAGGCTAGGGCACCCAGGCAGCTGGAGGAAGCTACTCAGAATATCTATGGGGCCACACCCCAATATACAGCTGAGTGAAATTCAGCTGGGACACTTTCATGTGACTGTCCTTGCCTGAAGTGGATGTCCATTCTGATTGACTAGTGCCGTCCTAGTGGCTAAATGCTTGTAGCATCGTCCCTCCCCATACATGTCACTGTTACATGGCTCAAGTGAGAACTGCAGTCATTATAAATGATGATGTTTGCCTTTCCTGGGTGGAGCCTGAGATGGACCCATTGGCTTTACTCAGTGCCTGTGACATTGCTCCTTTATAACAGTGTGTATTTGACATATCTATTGGGCCAGTCTGCAAACCACCTGGTTGGTAAAGCCTCAGTCAGCTTGACATGCTGACACCAAAAGGGGCTTGAATGGACAGCTGCTGCCCTGTTCTTGTTAAAAAATTTTCACTTAGGTTGTTTCAGATCTCTTTAGGTAAACCCAGATGGACTTCTTTTTTCATGCAAATCAGGATAAAATAGGCCTTCTTATTTTGCATATATAATGGAAATGTCTGATAATTGGATAGGACTGGAGCAGTTGAATCACAAGAAATTGAGAACTTTGTTGAGTTTGACAGATGATGAAATTGGGTGTTTTTTTTTTTGTCTCTATCACATGAGTGCTCATGGGGCTTTCTCCATCCTCCAACCTGCTCCTCTGTCCCTGATTCTCCCTCCTCTCTTTTTTATTGTCTTTGACCTTGACTATTTACAAGCTACCTATCCCCATGAAACTGCTGAGTGTGCGCTGGCAACCCTCTCTCAGCATTAAGTTGCACAGGAGCATTAATATATTTTGAATAGGTTCATTTAATCTTAAAATTGGTTTTAAGGTTTAAAAGATCTTTTCATATAGTTGTCACTGGATATTGTTATAGTGACTTAAACAGCTGATGCTTACCAATGTCAGGTGTGCTGATGATACCTGGATGTACAAGGTGCCCTTGGCTGCTTATAGACTGACTACCTTGTAAGGTGCTTGAATTAGGTTAGGGAGAGGAGTAAGGTGGTAAGTTAGTAGAACTTTTCCAGTTCCAAGTTTATAATTCATTCCATTACTTTTCTAATTGTGTTTTCATTTTTTTAAAAAAAAAGCTCATTTCAAGATAATAGACTGCATTTGAGAAAACTATATGGAAATGTTTGTTATATACCTACCTAACAATGCAATGATCATCTTTAAAATCGGCTTATACTTGATAGTAGTGATTGTATTTAAATAGATGGAGATGCTACAAAATTAGGATACTTAAATTTTTAAGATTGCTTCATGTTTATTGATCCTCATTTTTGTTGATCCAGGTAATTTTGTTAATAGAAAAAAGGAAACAAAAGCAAAACTTAAGGGGCAGCTCCTAGACATCTCAAAGTTTACGCTTGTCCTTGACTGCATTCTCCCTTGGTTTTCTTCCTTCCTATAGCCATATTCAAACATGACTTGCCACCATATGCAAAGGCAGTCTGTCCCATGGTTTGGATCCCAAGGCTGGAGCTGAAGTTGGTGACTAGTGGACTGGTATTCCCTCTGTTCAGGAGCTGGACAATGCCTGGGAAACACTCAGTGAAGCTCTGTGTAGCTTCCCTAGAGCTTGGCTGTCTTGGGGAGACCCATTTTCTTTTCTCACAAAGCTCCCTGGATATCCAGGGCCTACTCCCTTGCTGAGGATCCAGAGTCTTGCAGTGCACCAGGAACGCCCCAAACCTTTCTCTTCTGGAGCTTCCTGCATAGGAATGTTACCTCATGTCTCATGCTTCACAGTTGCTAATCTTTGGGATTCCTTGTTGGTTGGTTGCTGTTGTTGTTAGAGGGGTTTCCTTATTGAAGATTTACACAGTCCTGACTGAACAAATCACATCATGGGTTTTGTGCCTCGTTCTGTAATGGTTTAGAAAAAAAGATGCACCTAGTCCTCCTTTTCCCCAAGGATCTCTGTGCATCACCCTACGCAGGTGAATTTCACATTTTACACACCAGTCATCAAAAGGCATCCCTTCAAAGCAGCTTCCAGTCTTCTAACAGATTCTGTCGTGAGGACATAGCTGTCACTCATTCATGGATAGTATTTCTATTGATTAGTGAACTTAAGAGTCCCGTAGGAAAGGACACCACGTTATGTGATACAAACTGTAGGTGCCTGTGGTGTTTCCACCAGCAGGTCTGTGCTTTTCACAGCACCAGGGACAAACTGAATAATCCAAGAATAGCCAGAGAGCCACCTTTTTCCCTTTTTCCCTTTGACCTTTAAGTTTACAGGTCATCTGTTAAGGGCCTGCAAACTGTGGGCTGGCTACTTGTGTGTATAAATTAAGTTTTGTTGGAACATAACCACGCCCATTTGCTTACTGATTGTCCATGGAGCAGATTGGATTCTTGGAGAGGTGGCAGCGAAGCCTACAAAGCCTAAAGTAGCTACTGTTTGCATCTTCAAAGACGTTTGCCAACCCCCTGCTTGAGAAAATAATCCCTTTCAGGACAGATCTTCTCCCATCCCTTCTCTCTTATCTGCTGTGCACCTTCTGCTTTTCCTCCCCTCCTCAGCTCGGTTTCTTCTTATGCATATTTCTGTTCCCTCCTGCTGCAAGGAGACATGTCATTCATGCAGCACATAGACTGCCATCCTCTGAAACAAGCAGTCCATCTCCTTTTAAATCACTTGCCAAAGCCCCACAGCCTCACAGTACAGCCACGTCAGCCTGCAGACCAGAACCGATGAGCAAGTCGCCTTTGAAGTTCCAAAAGTAAGTGGCCTAGCCTCCCATTTCACTCCTGTGGTTTCTAATCATAGAAACTACTCTGGTTTCACTTCTTGTTTATTGAATTAAGGCAAGACTTTGTTTCTGATAAAATTAGCTGAGACTACTTTGGTTGTACTTCCAGTCCTCTGAACATGGATTTAGATGTGGACAAAATCTTTTCATAGCATGGAAACAGACTATTAACAAAGCCCACACATATAATGTATTACCATTGACATGTTTTCATTTCAAAGTAATCTTAGCTTGGTGAGCTAACAGTAGAAATGGAAGTTTTTGAAATGTTTTAGAAAAGAATGACAAAATTGGAACTTTTTTTTTTTTTTGGTCCTGTAGCCCCAGTTGGCTTGGAGCCGACTATGTAGACCAGGCTGGCCTTGAACTCACAGAGATCTGCCTGCCTCTGCTGGGACTAAAGGCATGCACCACCACACCCAGCTAAAATTGGAACATATTTTAAACTGAATATGGCTAGAAGTTATGGATTGTATCTTTACATCAAATCCAGTCAACTTCCAAGAGCTCAAGAATAAATTTCTATGCTATATTCCAAAATGAAGTTGAATGTTACATAACTTTAAACTTTTGGGCCTTGTTCCCTAATTAGTGAACAGTGCTGAGGATTGAACTCAGAACCTTGCACATGCTAAGCAGGCATTCTACCACCGAGCTATATCCCCAACCCGATTATTTTGAATTCTTCCCTGTTATACTTCACTGACTTGCTCTAAGTGGTTTAAAGGATGATATCGCATACTGCAGCAACACTCATATCCAAACAGTGAATACTTTTTCCCATGCCTGCTTCCAAATCCTTTTCAGGGAAAAGATACTAAAAAGAAAAAAATTAAAAACTTAAAACCAGCTGAACTAGGGCAAGCCTTTTGAGACAGCCTTCAAAATAATACAACTCTTGAAACTTCTGAAGTCCTGTCATCTACAAGGAATGGACTGGCAGCCTTATGGGCCAGCCTCTCTCCTTCAGATATCATCATACAGAGATTTCAGAGCTCTCTGCTGTGCTCCCAGCCTGGGCTTTGCAGCAGCCTGCTGTACTACACCATGGGACCTGGAGCACTCTGCAGAGGGTGTGCTTGCTCTTGCTTTTGCCTTTGGAGTTGAAACGAGTTGTCAGTTCCTTCCATCACCTCTCCACCGGATTACCCCTTCCCAGAGCTTTGGTGGTGCTTGCAGTGCGCTGGATGCACCTTTATTCCATCCTACAAACTGCCAGCTGTGCAGGCATGTGGGCCGGAGGAAGCAAACACTGAAGCTTTCTTACCTGATGGGCCTGTTCTGTTCAACAGTGTGTTCCGTTCTCAAACTGTTAAAAGCATTCTGCCTGCCTAAAACAGCAACCAGGAGCTCATGGTATTAGAGTATGCCAGCGATTGGATGAGTGGATTCTACCCATTCTGAAAGGGATAACTTAAAAATAATAAAACTGGTAACAGATTATATGTGGTCCAGTCTCCCTAAAATATTTAACTGCCTGACCCTTTGTAGCAGTTTGCTCATCTCTGCAAGTTACCCGATATCGAGTTGTGCACACAGCTGGGCACATACTTTCTTTGTTCGTATAGTCCAGCATTGCATCAATTCTTTACTTTTAGATTTGGGGCTATCTTGCCTGTTTGTCTCAGTACACAGTCGCTGTTACATGTAACTCCTGATAGTGCTTATACAGAAGAAAATGATTCTCCTCTGTTGATCAAATATTTGTTGACTTGTAGACATTTATCTGCTAGGGTGTGTCGTTAAAAGTACAGTCTTCTAAAATTCAGTCATTTTTGTGACTCTGAACTTGACTGTGATAGAGACATTCCACTGCAGCAGTGCTTGATGCAAGCTATTTTCTAGTGAACCCACAGCCTACAATAGTGCCTCTCTCCCAAAGCACAGTGCTTGTAGTTTCACCCCCATAGCTGTCCATTTCTTTCCTGTACCCAGGATATGTACAGGTTTAACATTCTTGTTTGGTCACTATCTATGAACATAAAAGTAACTGGTCTTTGCCTGTTTGAACCTTGAATCCAGACCGTACATCCTTGTCCTGCCAATTAGTATGCCAATGGCACCTTGTATGGGTACCAACAGCTTTAAACAGTGAATCCAGGGCAGTCTGGCCTGCCAGTGAAGGCCAGGCCTGAAGCGGCTCCCCATCTGGGGGAGGAGCCATTCTTGGTACCTTGCCTTTTCCTTCTACTGCTTATGCCATCATCCCCCTTCCAGGTGGCATCTTCTCTGGGACACTCTCCCCATCCCAAGTGCTTCACTGAACACATGCATGTCAACCTGAGAAGCATTTCTCCCTTCATTACTAGGCCCTCCCAGTATGTAGCAGCTGGATCCTAATGCCATTCAGTGATCACCTTTTTCCCACTCCAGTTGGTTTCCATGATGTACATCTCATGTTTAGTTATAGTTGCAAGTGGTGTTTGGAAGAGTTTGTAGGAACGATACTATACAAGTAAGATTTGCATTGTTTTGTATATTTATACCATGGGGATTATTGCTAGAGCCACTATATCTTAAGGTTATTGATTTCACTAGTGGTTTCTGCATTCTCAGTAGATCTAGGAGACTATTTATAACTGGTTTCAGATATGTAGAATACATATTTATACACACCACTGTGGAGTTTATTTTCACTGTGTAAATAGTGATATTTTCTTGTTCAAATGCTTCTATACAAAGTATTTATTTAACAAAAATAATTAACTGTCAAAAGGGCTTTCCAGAAGTTGTTCTTGCCATCCATCCTCCCCAGCCACCATGCTCAGCTATTGAACCCCCAAACACAGTAAAGGTACAAGGGTGCAGCCTTGAGACCCTACTGTGTTGGGATAGCCACATTGTAGATAGGGAGCTTTAGTGCTGCTCTCCACTGTTGCCCTCCCAGAACAGAGTGGGGCCTGTAGGGGTGATGCCCTTGCCAGGCCTGGCATCAGGTCTTGCCTCATGGCCCATACAGGGAAATGAACTTTAGTTATAACCCCAAGGAAAGCAGCCTCATGCCTGTGAGATGAGGAGAAACCACTGTGATTGTCATTATGGGTTTCTAGTCTCCCAAGCTTATGAGAGTCAGCCCTTTGGCACACTTATGGGAGTCATACATGTCACCTTCTGCACATTGACTTTCCTCCTCTCCCTTTTCTCATCAAGCATCTGTGCAGATGTGGCCCTCTCTCACCCATCTGTAACCCATGTTACAGAAGGAGTCTATGTTCTAAGATGCATTCAGCTTTACATCTCAGAGGACCCTGGATGTCACGGAACCAATGCTGTGTAGTCGCAGTCCTCTGCCCTGTGCCCCTTTCATGGGCACCCCTTTTACCATCTCTGCTCAATTGGCAGGACTGGCCTGCACCTCCAGGACTATAGGGCACTTGGGGACCTGGTATGTAGGGATTACTGTCATCCATTTGAACTACAGTTTGCATATTTCCTTATAGCCTTCCTTTGTCTTTTCTAAACAAGCAAGGAGGACACTTGAATGGTAATGCTGGAGAATGTTTTTCTAAGATACTGTTTATAAGCAAATCTGATTTTGAGATGAAATGTGAATGGGTAACTAGGTGCCAGGGAATTTAGCACTGAACTAGGCAGTCAAAACTTTTTTAACCTTTGCAGAAAGTAGATACTGTTCTCTTAAATGGTCACAAGATATAATGCTGTAAATAGTTTTCTAAAAATATTTATTATATGTGCTGTATACAATTCATGTTCTGAGTGATCTTGGTTTGCATTGTATTGTAGAATATATTTTGAGCAGTGGACTTCTTTTCACAGTACAGTTCACTCATGGAGAAAGAACCAAAACCAGCAGGTTGAGAGCTGTTTGGGGCATTTGATCTGTAATGTACCATCCAGTCCAAGCTTTAACTGCCCCCTCTTCTCATTCGGTTATGTTATATATTATTTACACACACACACACACACATGTACAGTGAATTGGTCAGTACCCAGGTCTGCAGAGCAGATTTCCAGGTGTTCTTTCTGATGTGTTTCCATAGCAATAAGACCCCAGGTGCTGACGAGTCCTGTTGTCTCAGAGGATTGGGTAGGGGGAACAGCTCTTGCAAAGCCTCTTGCCTTTGCTAGAGAGGCTACATTACTTGAATTTTTGCTTCTGTTCATCTGCACGCTCCCATGTCACAAATTCTCATCAGTGGGTGAGAAATAACCGGAACCAGACACATCAAAAGTAGACATGCTAACCAAAAGGTTGCATTTTCCCAGAACAGATGGCAAAGCCATTTGGCCATAGAGTGTCAGGAATACTTAGCCTAGTAAATATCCATTGGCTCTATCTGATTCACCTTTAGAAGCCAATCCATGTCATGCTGACCACCCCATGCCTGGACTCAAAATGTCTATGGCCCCTAGTGTCTGGTTAGGTTAGTGGAAAGAGGCATCACTCCATGTCTCCTCCTGTGCCCAACTCAATAGGCTCTTCAGCTGTTGAGCAGCCTCACCTTGTGACCATTCTAAATTTTGTGAAAAGGAAATACCCTACACCCAAATAACCATTGATAGAAGTAATGTAGTTTTTTAAGCTTTTGAAATGTCTTTTTTTGTATTTCTGATGGTGTCCAGGATTTTTCACTAGTGTTTTTTAGATTGAAGTGGGTGCATTAGAAGAAAGCTTTCCATTGCTGAGCCCAAAAGCAAGCAGAGGAAAGAACTTGGCCTGTATTGTGTCGTTGGGGAGGTGACTACTTATAGTGGGGGGTGGGAGGGAGTTGTAGATGATGTGGGGGTGAAATAGAAATTCTGGCCTGAGCTTTCCTAAGTCTTTGATATTTTATAATAAAAACCCCCGTGTTAGCCTCACTTAATCCCAATATAAGCCTGCTGTTTACCCTCAGGGAACAAGTGGTTTTCAAAATTGAGCTCCTCTAAGGTCATTGACCAGTGCCTGTGTGCACTGGCTGCCTTTGTGAACTCACAGCGTTATTTTCCCATATGCATTATGATATTAAGAAATTCAACCCCAACCTGTATGAAAAGCACAGCCCAGGGTCCTAATTTAGGCTGGCATTGATGCCTTTGAGGGGCCCCGGAGTCCTAGGAGGCACATGCAATTTAACTGAAGCTCAGGTGTGCGTTGGATTTTGCTTTTTAGGCTACGACCCTTCAGAATGAGTTTAGGGCAGGGGCTACGGATCTGGCTGTGGATTCAGGGAGCTCCAAGCTGAGTCTATACCATTCCTATAAGGTCCTGCTGGTCCCTCCCAGTGTGGTGTTGTCAATGCCGAGGTCAATCCCTTAGGTGTTTGGATGTGCTCCTTTTTGCTGTCTTGTAAGTCTTAGGCAGTGTTCCAGATGCCCAAGGGTGGGGCCTCAGGAGGGCACAGCCCCTTCCTGGTGCCTTCCAAACCAGCGAAATGAGAAGAAACTGCAAATGGCACCTGGCAGTGCCGCACATATCTCTTGGGCCTGGATTTCCACTGTGTTAGTGAGTGTAGGAAAATACTGTGTCTTTAATGGATGAAAATTCAATGTATGCTGTGAATTTGTTGGTTTGAAACATTGAAAACTTTTTCATTAGACAATGTTTACATACCTCACCTGAAGAACCTTTGAGAGTGTATATATGAAATCTAAAAATATATTAAGTTGCTTTAAAACAATATGTATAGTTATAAAAGTTGAAGTTATTTTAACTTTGAATATGTACTGAGTCTCTTAAATATTGAAATCTTGTAGAGTTTGTGCTCTGTGTCTTGCTTTTCCTGGTAGACCAAGTAGGAAACTGTTCTTGTTATTGGTAAAGTGGCCCACATTGAAATCCAAGCTTGGAAGGATTTCCTGTGGTGGTTGAGATTTTCGGGTTTGGTTTTGAGGGAATGGGGGCTGGAGCTAGAGGATGTGTGGGAGGGATTTCTCTAATGTTGACATCTATTCCATGAGCTTTTTCAAGGCGCTTATTTTATTGCAGCGTATTAAACTTCTTTGATATTAAAGTATGTGTGTGTGATCACTGGAGGGGGCATAGAACGTACCACAGCACCACCTTCACCTCACAGACTACTGCCATCTTGGTAAGTGGCCTACAGTAGCACTGTTTCTCCTGACTTCAAGAAAGAGAAAATGCAATGCAAGTGTCATGGGATTCCAAGTGTCATAGGATTCCAAGGATAGGAACAGTGCCACCACTCGTCTCTGAGGGGAAGGAATGTGCCAGGCTAGGGCTATCCAATTCTGTGGTCCCTGCTGGAGTGTGTCAGGAAACAAGCTTCCATTTGCCAGTGCTTCTGCTGGCCTGCCCTGTCCGATTCTTTCTACTCTGTTGGAAATGGATCTATTCAGGGTCATGGTTGGCCAGTGAGAATCATATAACCAGTCCATCTAACATCTATATCCAGTGAATAAGTGTAGAGATTGGCTGGCCACCCATGATTTTACTTTAACTCAGAAGTTGCAAGCTGCTAATCTATAGATGTTTTTATTTAACCCAATGTTTAAGGGCCAGTCTCACACAGGCACTCAGATCCTTTACACTCCCCAACTTCCAAGTGCAGTGTTGTGGTCTGAGGTGGTGACAGACCTTACAGACACGGCACTTCCCTCATTCCTCCACTTGCCTGGAGACGGGCCTTACAAGACGTCTGAGAAAGCACGCTGCTTTCTGATCCATTACCCAAAGCTCCAAGACCCTGGTCTGGTTAAATTGTGTGTGTGACTGTAGACAAATACTCAAAACACTAGTGTCACTGCCACATGTGGCAGGAAATGAGGGTGAGCAGACTGCTGTGCCCAACACACATGTCCTTAGGTTCTTTGACCTGCCACTCACACCCCTTCCTTTGGGATGGACAGACCTTGCCACATCAGGAGTAGCAGACTAGTCCTGCATGTGAGGATTGCCCAGTGTGGTGTCAGCCCAGAAGCCTTTGTACCCAGAGCTAGTGAATCCTGGCAGCAACAGGCTCACTTCAGCGGAGAAAGACCAAACAAGCAGAAAGTCAGTGGATCAATGTCATGTTCATATGGAAGACAACAGACAATACTGACATTCTAAAACAATACTTCTGGGGGAAAGGGCAGGTGCAGCTCCCAAAAAATCAATCCAAACAACAGAAATCCCAAACAAAAGGTCACAACCACATAGCATCTGAAAATCAAAACAAGACCCTGGAGGTTGACTTTAACATATAAAAATACTATAACAAAATGAAATACAAATATATATTAGAATCTGTAAGTATTCTGTATAAAGAGATACTTTTGCGGTTAGGCTAACAGCAGACAAAGAGGAGACAAAGTTGGCCTTTTCCATGTCTTAACATCAAGGGGCTCTGGCTGCTGTCAGCAGTGCTGCCTAAGTACCATCTCCCTGTAGATTCTTGCACCAGGTCTCTTCTTTGTATGTTTAATGGAAATAGCCAACAGTGACCACAAAGCAGGTCTTTACCAAAAGGGGACAAGATGTGGAGGTGATTTCTTGTAGAGTTGCACTCACGGCAGCCTTCTTCCAGGACCATACAAGTGTGAACAGGCGATAGGAGTGATGTGCCAGGCTTTAGGCACCTTGCAAGAAAGCGGAGCCTGGCGCTCTGGTAAAGGGGTGTACCCAGACATGAAGACAATTCTGCAGTCTTCCCATCTGGAGTCTGGCTGGCCTAAGGGCCAATGTGATGGGAGGTACTGAGCTCCACAGCCTCTGGATGTTTGTGTCTCAGTGTCAAAGCTCTCTCATTACCCATCTGGGCAGGGACACAGGCACAAGGCCATCCAGCAACACCACACACACAGACAGAGGGATGTGCTCCCCTCTTGCCCCACAAAGATCACACACACACACACACACACACACACACCAGGGCTACACTCTTCCTTCAGCAGTTCCCTATTAGGCTCAAACCTCATCTTTTCCCTCTGAATCTTCGAGAAACCTTTATGTCAGACAGCCTTGTATCTGGGGGTTTCAAACACAGCCTTCACTGCAAACACCAGGATGAGCAGCTGCAGCCTGCATCATTCTGGATGCACCATGGTGCTCAGGAATTAGCTCACATTAGGGCTGAACACCCATAGAGCCCAACCCAGATTAGGGACATCAGTATTTATTAATGTAGTCAATAGAAATGGGTCTTCTGACTCCTCAGACCTCCCTTCTGACCACAGTGGGAAAGTCTACATGGTTCCTGCCCACCTCCTTGCTCCATAGCTGCAGACCTGAGGCCTGGGCAGACAGAAGTTTGCACAGAACCACGGGGCGTTCTCCCTGGTATCTGCACTATTGGCCTCCTATTGTTCCCTAATGACCTTAGTACAAAGCTGTAAGCCAGCCTCAAGGAAATAGGTCCTGGCCAGGCCCAACTGCCCCTCACACCCCATCCCTCTGCCAGGTATACCAGAAGCTTATAACTGGCCATGGTTGGGGGAGCCTAGTCATAGAGTCCCTTCTGTGGCCAGTGATGTTTATTCAGCCACAGCCAAGAACCCCTGCCCTCTTTGGTGGGATCTGCAACCCCAAGCAGCCCCAGTGGCTGTTTCCTTCACAAGACCCCCTTATAGAAGTTGCAGTGGTCATCCTACACTTTTGGACCCAGAGGCCTGGTCCTAACCATGCCACCCCCAGCCTCTGTCCCAAGCAGTGGAGACAGCGGGCCTCTTGACTCAAAGAAAAAGAGTCAGTCCCACGGCCATGGTAGGAAGTCTTCCCTGGATAGTGACCTGTGGCCAGCAGGAGCGGCAGCAGAAGCCAGGCCAGTGATCTGGGAGGCAATTACTCTCAGAGGGGCCAGAGGCTTCCGGGACATTAACTCTGCCCCATGCCGGCCTGGACCCCAGGCCAAGGGAGAGGCTGGTTGGGACAAGGAATAGCCTCCTTCAGTCCCAGGTAGCAGGCAGAGGGGTGCCCTCGTTCTGCCATCCGTGGTCTGACCTCACGCACACATTCATTCAACAAATATTTATTAAGCGCCTATTTGTGCAAGGCACTTCGGGAGAGGGCGTGGCCACCCGAGCCTCGCCCCTCTGCCCCAGCAGTGCAGTCCTGGAAAGGCGCCTCAGTGTCCTGGCCAGGGCCCAGGCGCCGTCCTGGTGATGCCCGCACCCCAGCCCAGCTGCCAGTGCTCCGCCCGCTCGCTAAGCGCACGGGGCACAGCCGCACTTGGTGGGCTTCTCCACCTCCTCAGCAAACGAGGTCCCGTCACTGCACTCGAAGGTGAGCTTCCTCCGCTTCAGCCGCAGGCCCCGGCAACAGCCCTGGCCGGGGCATAAGCCCCGGCACTCCACCCACGACAGGGGGCGCGTGGTCTGGCAGATGGCATAGCCCCTCTGGACCCGGTGAAAGTCCCGGACAGGGTCCCCCCGGCAGTTGGACTCTGGATGGGACAGACACCAAGAGAGAGCCTCAGGGCACACCCGTGAGAGGCAGGAGTGGGACCCGGCAGCATCCTGGGAGGGGTTCTCGCACTCTCACACCCCTCTGTCCAGAGCATCCTCCCACCTCCCGGCATGCATCTGATCTCCTGCTTCCTCCTGGACCCATAGTGTGCTAGGGGGAGGGAGGAAACAGCTAGCTGCCTGGGCCTTCCAGACCAGAGTGGCTGCCAGGTAAGGTAATACCCGTTATGCAGATGGGCAAGAAGAGCTGAGGCCTGAAGGCAATGGCATGATGAAAGGATTCTGCGCCGGAGAGGATGGCCCACTGCCCTTAAGGTGCCTGAGGCTGCACTCCTCCAGCTTCCCCCTGCCTAGCCTCTGCGGTCTGAATTCTAGCAGAAGCATCTTGGTGAAGGGAGCCAGGGAAGGCCTGGGAAGGAATCCCCCAACCCTCCGACATCCTGCTGCCCCCAGGTCTAGAGCTAATGGACCAAGATATGTAGGCCTGGCCAGGAGCTGTTACTGGGTATACCTGGGTGATCTCTTCTGGATGGAGAGATCTTAGCCAGGAAGGGCAGGGCCCTGGGCAAGGGAACTGCAGGACATGCTGGGCCCAGGAGATGGGAGAGGTTGGACTAGGTGTCTAGAGACCAGGGACACCAAGGCCCAGTAGTCCCCTAAGTACTTGAGGGGGTTGTGGGGGGACAAAGAGGGGTAGCCAAAGTTGGAGGAAGATAACATGGAGCTGCTACAGCAGGTGGTGGGGAGGGACCCTGCAGAGGGCAGTCAGGAGGGGGACCCCTGACCTTGCTCACACAGCTCGCCAGAAAAGCCTGGGTCACACACACAGTGTGCTCCCTTGGTGGCCGAGGCCTGACAGTGGCCATGTAGGCACTGCAGGCCCCCACAGGGCTCTGCTGCTGCCCCAGCCTGGTTGCACAGGGCCCCTGAGTACCCATCCTGGCACTGGCAGCTGTAGGCAAGAGCATCGAGGGGTACACATTTCCCATGGACACACCTGGAGGAGACAGAAGAGCACTGTGAGGACAGGCCAGCCCATAACCCAGCCAGAGTGCCCCACCCCAACCAGCCTCCCACTTGGTTCAGTTCCTAAGATTTAAAACAAAGGGGGCAAAATATGATTCTATGCTTGTCCTTATGGGCCTTTTCCTGTTAATAAAAGCTAAAAACCAGGAAAATAAATAAATAAAATCTTGTGTCAGGCCATAGACTCCAATTTGAGGATTTAAAAAAATAGTTGGTAAGGCATTGCTTGCTGTAGATAAGTGGGACTCGTAGGGAAGGAGCAGGTGGGTGGGGTTATGACTCCCTTGGCCAGGCTCAGACTTACTTGTGGCCATGGCAGGGTCCATCCACTGGCTGGTCACAGTGCAGCCCTCCCCAGCCAGCCTCGCAGTGGCACACGGGCCCTGGGGTGGCGTTGGGCTGGCAGATCCCATGTAAACAGTAGAGCTTTCGGCAGGGCTCACAGCCTGGCACCACGCCAGGTTTCATCTGTGTCTTGGTAAAGTCCTGAAGCTCATTGTTGATATACAAGTTCCGGATGCAACCGTGGAAGCTGGTGCCGTTGAGGATCTGCCATAGGCGGAAGGCAGCTGAGTTCACATCTACGGGCATCCCTAGGGTGGTAGAAAGCAACAAGTCGGGCTCAGGCCATACCTGATGGGCAACTCTGCAGTGTCACCTCTTGCCTTTGGCCTCTGTTCTGTCTCTGCAGAAGTCCTTCCCTCTTAACCCCCTGGGAGACCCAGACTCCTTTCCAGGAAGACATGGAAAGTCTGCTTCCTCTGGGATCGAAGCTGGGAGTCAGGCTGGGCATGGCAGTTGACCAATGGAGCTCTGGGGTGCCTGTATCCAAAGTCTGGCTGTCCTCAGTAGGGCACCTTCCTTCCCTCTGAGGTACCTGCTGTCATTCCTGGAGACCCCAACCAAACCAAGGAACTTATGTGCTGGGCACCTTGCCACCTGCTTTTGTGCTAGTGACTTTGCACACAGGCAGAGACTGCCTGTCCCCACTCAGGAGTCTGAAGGTACTCAACTAGCAAGGACAGAGCTAGGATCTGCGTAGGAGACCAGGCCCTCCCCAGGCTGAGACAGCCCACAGCATGAGAATCATTACAGGTGGTGGACAGGGGTCACCTGGCCTGCAGCACCTCTGAGGCCAATAGACAGTCCCCAATTGATGTGGGGACTCTGTGTGAGTCTCTTGCAGTGGTTCTGGCCTCTGAGGGCCCAAGACTGAGAATGGACCCCGGACATGGGAAATTCCTTCTTGTCCAGAGCCAAGAAGAAGGTACCCATGGTGTGGAAGACAGCTGAGAGAGACCCAACTATCTCCCAGGCCTGGTACTGGTCCTTCTTGGTGAGTCTCAGTGGGCCAGGGTACAGCCAGGCTCCAGGCAGGGCAGGACAACCCACAAGATTAACCATTCTCTGTGACCATTCCACTCTTGGTATTTCCCTTGCCCTGGACCAGTTCTCCTGGCCAGCCTTGGGCCAGTGAGCACAAGAGGCCCCACCCTGGGACACTATCACCATGTCCAAGTGGAGAGGCTTGAGGTGGATTCTCACCTCCTACATAGAGGGGGGCCTCACTGTTGAGCGTGTAGTGCTTGCCGAAGTTGTCCATGGTCATGGGACTGCCGCCATCGATGGAGAGGTTCACCATCTGGTCAAAGGTGACCAGCTCAACAGTGTGGAACTGTCCATCATTGATCGTCTCAGCGCTGGAAGAAGATGGGGTGCCCCCACCCAGGGCGTGGGTCTCAGGACCATCCCTGGCTAGTCAATTCCCAGAAAGCTCATCAATACAGCCCTGCTTTCCCAAGAGACAAATCTCTAAGGGAGAAGACCATGGGGACTAAGGACCATGGGAACTAGGCAACCTCAGCCTGATGTGTCTATTCTATTTCCTTGGGGCCACAGGGGAGGCCGAGAAATTTGGGGATCACTTCCTTCCCCTTTCAGGAGACTTCTGTGAGGTGAGGCAGGAAGGGGAAGGAAAGGGTTCCAAGAAAGTCTCCACTCCAACTGGGCTGGACTTGGGACCAAATGGCCTTTCTGGTCATCCCAACAACCACCTGCTCTTAGCCCAGGAGTCCCATCCTGGCATGCCCACCCTCAGGCTGATAGTCTGAAGAAGCTCTACCTGTAGATAGCAGAACTGGGGTAGCTGCCTGGGTCATAGCTGACACGGACGTGGCCCTGGTACAGCTCAACTGCAATGTGGTCATTGTCCCCATTGTACAGCAGGATCCCATTGTCCTCTGCCGTGGAGACCTGAGGAGCAAAGGCATGTTCTCTACCATCCCACCTCTCACAGAAGCAACACAAGTAGATAAGTGAACAGAGGAAACCCAAGGTTGAAAGAATGATGCCATGTCAGAACCATCCACCCCTCCCCATCCCCATGCCTGACTAGCCTTCTAGGGACCCCTCCTTCAAGGTGGCTGACAGAGGTGGGCAGTCCTAAATTCAAGTGCCATCCACTGCCAACCAACGAGGTCCAGGCAGACAGGCAGAGTGGGGCCTAGAAAACCTTTGCCTAAGAGCAGGTAAAAGACTGTCTCTGCCAGTTGCCCAGAGGGGAAGTCTACAACCACCACCTCCTGGGTGTGGAAGCCTACCCATGAGACTCAGGAAGTTGGCTTCACAGGCAGGGAGCAATAGAGGAAGGTTCTCCCAGCCAGAGCCCTCCAATCCTGGAATGAGCCACTTAGGAGGCAATGTGTGTGACTGGAGCTCTGGGATATTTTTTGGGAGGGAGGTCCCCATGGCCTTAGAGGACACGACCACTTCCTCCTGCCTTGCTCCTCTTCTCTGCTTTCTCCTGGTTAAGACCCTGATACTCTGGTCCACAGACTGAGGGGCCAGGCTGGACCAGTCACACTAGCCCATTTCCTTGGACCCAGTGGTTAGTCCAGGAACCTGTATGTGACAAAAACTTGGCCAATCAGAGAGCTTCTCCTGAAACTGTTGGTTGTTGAATTAAAGCAGGCAAAGTCCCTTAAAGTGTGGCAACAAGGCCTCCTGCAGATGTCAGGGTAGCCCAAGGATATGCCCGAGGCCATGGCTGGGACTGGGCTGGGGCTGGAGGTGAGTTCTGCTTTGCTGAGTAGGTGAGCTGCTTAGGGTTGTTCTGGGGACAGTGTGAAAGAAGAGAATGAGCTGAGGGAGAGAAGGAGACAAAACAAAGGGAGAAGATATGGCACCTGTGGTCAGGAATGGAATTTGCAGGAAAGAGGCAGATGATCGAAGAGTTTACATTTTCTATTGGGTAGTATATGATCAAATCTGTTCTCTCTTCCTCCAGGACATATTTAGCAAAGTGTCCATACTTTCCATTACTGTTGTTGAAGTAGGACTTGATTGTTTTCCCTTTAACACAGTTTTTAGGGGACCCCAATGACTCTGGCCATCTGCAGCAAACCTGTCTACAAGACCTGAGCAGCAGGTGGAAGAGAGGTTGTGGGTGGGCCTCTGGCAGCTTTGGTTTTCTGAATCTGATCACTGTACAACTGTCCAAGGTATGACTCAGAAACCTTCCCAAAGTACTCGCACTGGCTCCCACTGCTATCCTGGCCCCAGGCAGAGCACCGACAAAACAGTTCCTTGCAGTTCCCGCAGGCAGAGGTGCACCCTGATGCTCTGAATTGGGCAGGGGTCCCCTGCTCCCCAACTCCTTTGAGTGACCAGGCCCTGGGCACTCACCTGCAGAGTGATGTTGGCCCGTGGCCAATTCTGCAGGTCAGTGAATTGCAGGTAAGTATCCCGGTCCACAAAATTGACACTAAGCAACTTCTCACACTCTGGGCCACCAAAGCCTGGCAGGCACTGGCACACAGGCCGGCTGCCCTGGTCCACACAGTTGGCCCCGTTCTGGCACTCAGTTCCCTCACAGGGGCTTCTGGGAGCAGGTAGGTGAGGTGGGATCTCACAGAGCTGTCCACTGAGAGGAAAGGTCAGAGAGGGCAGAGTCAAACAAAGCTGGGGATATCTCCTCTCCTACATTGCTGGTGAGGAATTCATTAACCGCCTTAGGAAATGGACCCTTAAAATTACTGCAGATGCCCTTAGTGTGCACTGCTTTCTAAGGGAGCTGAGAAGCAGAAGGTTACTGAGAAATGAGTGTGGCTGGTCCCTGGCCCAGCAGCATCAGCATCACCTGGGCACTTCTCAGAAAAGGAACCCCACTGGATCTGCATTTTGACAAGGTCTCAGATGATCTGTGTGTACATTAAAACTGAAGTAATCCTCCCTACCCATGTCAATAACTGCACAGCAGGTTTTACTGAAAAGAAAACTGATTTAAGACACAGGCAGAGCGAAATAACGGATTATAAGAGTATATAATGAACAACTAACTGTGTGCCAGCTAATTAGATAGCATGGATGAAATTGACAGTGTTAGAAACACACAAACTCCCCACACTGACTCAAGAATAAAGAGAACATCTGTGTGAACAAGTGCAGAAATTGAATTAGTAATCAGAAAATTTTCAGCCTCAAGAAGTTGTTTCACTAGTGAATTCTATCAAACATTTTAAAAATAATTAATTCTGATTTTTCACACTTTTATAAGAAATAGACCATAAATGAACAGTTCCTGATTCTGAGACCAGCACGACCTTGACTCCTAAGCTAGACAAAGACATCACAACAGAAATTACAGGCTAATATCTCTTATGGACATAAGCACAACACCCTCACCAAAACACCAGCAAATCGAATAATTTCAAATGTGAAACATATACGTCAAGAATTTTAAAGCAGTTGTTGAAAGATGTTGAAGTAAATCTCAGTAAGTGGAGAGGCATTCCATGTTCATGGACTGGAAGATTCAATATTGTTTTGTTAAAATGGCATTGTTTCCTATATTGATCTACAGATTCATTATCATTTCTATGCTAATCCCAAAAGACTTCTTTTTTTTTCCTGCAGATTTTGACAAACTAATCCAAAAATCCATATAGAAATTCAAGGAACCCAAATAGCCAAAGCAATCTTGAAGAAGAATGAAGTGGTCGAGCTGGAGAGATGGCTCAGTGGTTAAGAGCACTGGCTGCTCTTGTAGAGGACCTGGGTTTGGTTCCCAGCACCCACAGCACAGCTAACAACCGTCTGTAACTCCAGTTCTAGGGGATCCAATGCCCTCTTCTGGCCTCTGAAGGTACTGTAAGCACCTCATGCACTTACATGCAGGCAAATGACTCAGATACAATAAGTAAATAAATAATAAATAAATAAATAAATAAAAAAGTAAATAAATAAATAAATAAATAGGAGGACTCACACGTTCCAGTTTCAAAACTTTTTACAAAACTACAGTGATGAAAGGGGCTGGAGAGATTGCTTAGTGGTTAAGAGCACTGATTGTTCTTACAGAAGACCCAGGTTCGAATCTCAGCACCCCCATGGAGGCTAACAACTGTCCATAACTCCAGTTCTAGGGGATATGACACCTTCTGTCCTCCACAGCACTAGACAACACAGGTTCACTAACACATATGCAGGGAATATACTCATAAAATAAAAAATTTTAAATCAGAAAAAAAAGCTGCAGTGATGAAGATACCATGCTGTTGGCATAAGGACAGCCATACAGATCGATGGATATAATAGCCCAGAAGCCCTCACACTTGCAGCCAGTCCATCCTGGAAGCTCCCTCACACTTGCAGCCAGTCCATCCTGGAAGCTCCCTCACACTTGCAGCCAGTCCATCCTGGAAGCTCCCTCACACTTGCAGCCAGTCCATCCTGGAAGCTCCCTCACACTTGCAGCCAGTCCATCCTGGAAGCTCCCTCACACTTGCAGCCAGTCCATCCTGGAAGCTCCCTCACACTTGCAGCCAGTCCATCCTGGAAGCTCCCTCACACTTGCAGCCAGTCCATCCTGGAAGCTCCCTCACACTTGCAGCCAGTCCATCCTGGAAGCTCCCTCACACTTGCAGCCAGTCCATCCTGGAAGCTCCCTCACACTTGCAGCCAGTCCATCCTGGAAGCTCCCTCACACTTGCAGCCAGTCCATCCTGGAAGCTCCCTCACACTTGCAGCCAGTCCATCCTGGAAGCTCCCTCACACTTGCAGCCAGTCCATCCTGGAAGCTCCCTCACACTTGCAGCCAGTCCATCCTGGAAGCTCCCTCACACTTGCAGCCAGTCCATCCTGGAAGCTCCCTCACACTTGCAGCCAGTCCATCCTGGAAGCTCCCTCACACTTACAGCCAGTCCATCCTGGAAGCTCCCTCACACTTGCGGTCAGTCCATAGATTTACAAGAAATCCAAGATAAGTGAAAGGGGGGAAATAGCGTTTTCAACAAATCCTGCTGAAACAACTGGAATGAGTAAACTTAAAGCTGAGTGTGATGGTACATACCTGCAATCCCCCGCACTTAGGAGGCAAAGGCAGGTGGATCTCTATAAGTTCAAGGCCAGCCAGGACTACATAGTGAAAGCCTGTCTCAAAAAAACAAAACCAGGGCCGGGTGTGGTGGCGTACGCCTTTAATCCCAGCACTTGAGAGGCAGAGGCAGGCGGATCTCTGTGAGTTCAAGGCCAGCCTGGTCTACATAGTGAGTTCCAGGACAGCTGGGGCTACAGGGAGACCCTGTCTCAAAAAGACCGAAAAAAAAAAAAAAAGATGAAGTTAAATGCCTATTTCCATACTATACGTTCAAAAATTATCTAAAATGAGTCAATGACCTGAACATAAGACCTAAAAGTATAAAACACTTAGAAAACAGCATAATATAAATTTTAGGTAGCAGTTTACTAGATACAGCATCAAAAGCATAAGTACACACACATGCTTGTATGCACTTGCATGCACATACATTTCTATACATAATACATACACCACACAAAAGGAAAGAAGGGAGGGGAGGAGGGAGAGAGGGAAGGAAGGAAGGGAAGGAGGGAGGAAGGGAGGGAAGGAGGGAGGAAAAGAGGGAGGAATGAGGGAATGAAGGAATAAACCAATAATCACATGAAGAGATGCTCAACTTCATTGACCATCAAGAAATTAGGAATCAAAACCACAGTATGATGCCACTTCACACTCAGGATGACTAGAAACAAAAAGGTAACTTGTGGTGTGGGGGAAATTGGAAGCTCTTACGCTGCTGCTGGAAGTATAGGAACGAACAGCCCCTGGAAACCAGTTTGGCATCTCCTCAGTCAGGCATAGAGTTACCATATGATGAAGCAAATCAGGTATATTCCTGATGTATATGTTTATACAAAACTCTGTACATGGGTACTTACATCCCCAGCATTCATAACAGACCCAAAGAAGAAACAGCCTGAACTGTCCATCAACTGAGGAGAATGAGCAAAGTGCAGTCTACCGCTGTGTTGGGGAATCATCCAAGAAGGATGTGCTGAGACCTGCCGCAACAGGGTGAACTTTGAAAATACTGTGCTTACCCAAAGAAGCCAGACAGGAGGGACAGCAGACAGCATGGTCCTCCATCTAAACTGTCCAGAACATGCAAATTAATGGACACAGACAGCAGATCAGTAGCTACTGGGATAAGGATGGGTTGAAAATGACAGATAACAGGTCCTGGGCTCTTCCTGAAGTCATAAATGTGTCTAATTTATTGTGATGATGGACCATAATTGTGGGAATATACTAAAAAGCAATGAAGTTTACCTTTTTGGTGAACTGTATGGTATATGAATTATATCTTGATAAAGGTGTTTATTTTAACTCTTTTATTTTATGTATATGAGTGTTTTGTCTACATGCATGTAAGTGTACCCATGAGTGCAATGCCCACGAAGGCCAGAAGAAGGTGCAGATCCTCTGGAACTGGAGTTACAGATAATTGTAAGCTACCATGTGGGTGCTGGGAACCAAACCCAGGTCCTTTACAAGAGCACCCAGTGCTCTTAACTGCTGAGACATCTCTCCAGGCCCAATAAAGATGTTTTTTTTAAATGATAGAGTGGAAGATGGGGAGATGTTCACGGGCTAAAACATTTGTTGCACAAGCATGAGTACTAGAGTTTGGATCCCCAGCCCACCTGTAATCATAATGCATGGAAGTGGAGACAGGAAATCCCCACCTCAGTAAATAAAGTGGAGAGCCATAGAGGATGACACCTGATGTCAACCTTTGGATTCCACAGGCACATGCACATACATATACATACCCATATGCCACACACATGTGAACACGTATACAAATGAACACACCACATACGCAATTGCAAAAAGTTTTTTAAAAAATTAAAAATGACAGTGGTACAATGGGCGTTTTTAGTATGTGCAAGGTCCTGGGCTCAAACCCCAGCATTGAAAAAAAGAAACCTTCAAAAAGATATGAGTAGAGTCCAACCTTCTATGGGATGGGGATGTCCACCTAAGAAGAGGATGACTTTTTTTTTTTTTTTTTTTTGTCTTTTTGAAGCAGGTCTCCCTGTAGCCCCAGCTGTCCTGGAACTTACTATGTAGACCAGGCTGGCCTTGAACTCACAGAGATCCGCCTGCCTCTGCCTCCCAAGTGCTGGGACTACACACGTGTACCACCACACCCGGCTAGAAGAGGATGACTTTTATGTCAGGATGTGACTTCAGAGATTCTGCTGGGCAGGTAAGTGACAGGACATTGACCAATAGCTGTCCCAACTACCTGCCCTCCAACAAACAGATTCGGAACCATCTGACTGGGTTCTGAGTGGCTACCTGACATTCCCAGGGGTGCACAGTTGGGATGTCAGACCCATGCCTAAAACTCTAGCACTCAACTTCCAGACTGGGACCATCACCCACCCCAGCCTGGAGAGGTCCCTGCCAGTAGCACCTGAGGTAAAGGAGTCTCTCCCAGTGCTGCTTGAGCAGCTCACCAGTAGCCCTCGCCTCACCTGTAGCCCTCAGCACAGAGGCAAGCATAGCTGTTGACTTCGTCCACGCACTGGGCCCCGTTCTGACAGCGGTGGTCCCTGCAGTCATCCTGATTTTCACTGCAGTTGTCACCTGTGTAGCCTGGCACACACTCACACCTGGGGTGGACAGGGAGAGAGTCAGCCAACACTCAATCCAGAGCTCAGTGGCCAGGGCTCATGCAGCCTGTAGGTGTGACAGAGAATCTCTGAGAGGTCCATCCTGAGGGTCTTTTCTAGTGTGAACAGAGCTGTATGGACATGGGGACCCTAGGCTAGGAGAGTGAATGCCCGGCAGCAAGAGGAGGTCCTAAATGCCCACTTTCTCCACCAACTACACATTCAAAGTCAACTTCAGCCCCTTCCTGAACTGTTCTGTTCCATGGTCTCCTCTGACCCTCTGACAGACTCCCAGGGAACATGACTCAGGTCACCCCCCAGCTTCCTAGCTCTCATTGAGCTTCATGTCTGCCCCTAAATCCATTTTGGCCAATCCTTTGCCTATCCAGTAAAGTACACACTCCTCTTTCCCCTTTCTAGCCCCCAAGCCATCTGCTCTCTCCATACCAAGCCCACCCAGCCTGGCATGCCCCTCCCTTTACCCTATTGATTCTAGAAAACCTTCTCCCTGCATGGTCCAGCCATGCCAATTTCTCCCTTCCCCCAGGAAGCCTTGAGGGAGCACTCTAGCTCTCACCAAGCAATCCCTGTCTGAAGTCTACCAGCTCCAAACTCCACAACTCAACCACATAAGTTGATCAGTATTTTTTTTTCTGTATTTTATTTTAATTTTATTTTATTTCATTTAATTTTATTTTGGTCTTTTTGAGACAGGGTCACCCTGTAGCCCCAGCTGGCCTGGAACTCACTGTGTAGATGAGGCTGGCCTTAAACTCACATAGATCCACCTGCCTCTGCCTCCCTAATGCTGGGATTAAAGGCGTGTGCCACCATACCCAGCATTATTTTTATTTTATACATATCAGTGAATGCCTGCATGTGTGTAAGAGCACCCATGTTATGCAATTTCTGTGGAGGTCAGAGAAGGTGTCAGATAACCCTGGAACTGGAATTACAGATGGTTGTTAGCCATCACATGGATGTTGGGAATCCAACCTGGGTCCTCTGCAAGAGCAGCCAGTGCGCTTAACCACTGAGCCATCTCTCCAGTGCCCAGATGGGCATTCTTACATGGACTTTTTTTCCCTTTCCCAAATCCAGTGTTTTTCAGGCTGGAAGAAGTATCTTTCACCTCAGTACACACAAGCATACACACATACAGAACCAATCCCATGCTACAGTATAATTCTAGCCATATAAAATGGCATGTCGCTCTCTGATATTTTCTGTTTTCTTTTTATTTTATTTTTATTTTATGGTTATGAGTGTTTTGCCTGCATATATGTAAGTATACCATGTGCATGCAATGCCCATAGAGGCCAGAAGAGGGCATCAGATCTGGAACTGGAGTAACAGACGATTGTTTGCCACCATGTAGGTGCTGGAAATTGAACCTGGGTCCCTGGAAAAGCAGCCAGTGTTCTTAACCACTGTGCCATCTTTCCAGCCCCCTGTTTTCTTTTTTTAATGTTAATTTTGGTTCCCAATTGATCACCATTCACTAATGAGTCTTGAGTTACAATCTGAAAAAATGTTATAGCAGCCAAACCACTATGTTCAAGGTCCTCATACTGAATACTTGCTGGGTCTAGCATCATACCAGGCATAGCTGAGCATCTCTCAATTCCATCCTGCCACTACAGGAAGTTGACAGCACATGTATGATATAGCCTGCTGGGCTGTAGCTGGGCCCAGGGCTGAACACAGAGCTCAGTTTTTCGTGGTGAGAGATGACCTGGCAGTTCTATACTAGCCGCATGTGGTCCTGCTGTTCATCCCACCCTCTGAGCACCTGCATCTCAGAGTAGAGTACCAATGTGCCACTACTCCCTGATTGCCTTGGCCTCCCCACTCCTGTGGCTTACCCAGGAGTGCAGCTCCCTTGTTTCCATGGAGGCCATGCTACAGTCCACTGTTCATGTACATCTAGGCCCCAACAATCCTCTGACACTATCATCTACACAGCAGGCCTGGGTTTCCACCCCTGGCCTTGGCCCAAGTTCCTGGGTTTGGGTGCCTCAGCCATAGACCCTAAGAAGTCCCACCCTGATAACTCCTTGCTTCCTTCTTGGGTGGAATGGGGTCAGTCCTAGAAAATGAGACTACACTTAGAGAAGGGACATTTTCAAAAGCCATGACCTTCATCCAGTAGTTGCCACATGACAAGTCCTTCTACAAAGTCCAATAAACACTGTGATTCCTTGTCCTGGGGTTTGCACAGGCTTTGGAATTCAAAGCTTTGTGGCCACAATTAGGCCACAGATTGCACTTAAGTGAGCATTACGGAAGTTGCCAGGGGGTTGTGAGGCAGTGCCATAAACAGATGAGCCCATACTCCAGCAGAACCTACCCACACCTACCCTTGGCAAATGGGTGGCAAGTGTGAGCACCCATCAGCCTTTCTTTCTGGTGAGGTTTCACCATGGAAGTGCTTTATGGTTTTTGAAGAGTTTTGTGGATTTTTGTGGCATTTGTGATTAAGGTGAGAGGTCATGGACCCGGTGTGAGCAATTCTTCACAATGGGCTGTTCACAATGAGAAACTAGCCTCAGTCCAGCCAGCAGTCCACTCAGGGCCAGGCTCCAAGTCCCACCCTTAGGTCTGTGTGGCCAGAGCTGTACCCACAACCAGCCCTGTGCTGGCTCTCAGGAGCCTAGAATGGCCAAAACCATACCCACCGATAGAGAAGTAGGAAGGGAGGGAGGGAGGAAGGAGACCTCAGGCTGGGGTCTCTGGCGGTGGGTAGCACTGACCTGGCTCCATCTGGGGTGCTCACACACGGGGCCTCATGCTGACAAGGGTTCCGATCTGGGGAGCAGAAGTCCACAAGCTGCTCACAAGCCCTTCCTAGGGAAGAAGGAAGGAGAAGCAGGAAAGGCCAAACCTGATGGAGACTCATGCAGACATTGAGGTGCCCATGGGATAGGGGGTGGTCTGGCCCCTGCCATGCTTACCTTCATACTGCAGGGGACACTGGCAGGTGTAGTTACCCACACCATCCACACAGACACCCCCGTTGACACAGGTATGCTCCATGCACTCATCCGTGTTCACCCCACAGGTGGGTCCTTCAAAACCAGAGGGACAGGAACACCTGTTGAGGGTAGAGAGCATTAAAAAAAAAAAAAGCATAATAAATAAAACATAAAATGACAATGTGATTTAATTTGATTGTTTTATTTATTTATTTTTTGGTCTTTTTGAGACAGGGTCTCCCTATATCCCCAGCTGGCCTGGAACTCATTATGTAGAGCAGGCTGGCTTTGAACTCACAGAGATCTGCCTGCCTCTGCCTCCCAAGTGCTGAGATTAAAGGCCTGTGTCACCACATCTGGCCTCTGATTGTTTTATTTTTAAACATTAATATTTGTGCTACCCATGACGTTACCCCTTTGCAAGGAAAAAAATTAAACTTAGAGTGGAAAAAATGTAGCTATCAGTCTAAGAATGTCTGTGTGGGGTGTCATTTTACATTTTGTCTGGAGGGCAAATAAAGATATCTAGAGATCAGGCTGCAGAATATGTTTTAGAGTTCAATTTTAAGCTAGGGTGACAGGACATTTCCCATTGCATTAAACCCCCTCTAGTGGGAGCTCAGGGTGCTAGTCAGGCAGAAAGGAGATGCCCCCACCTACCTGGTGTCACAGGCTGCCTGGCTGCTGGATGTGTGGGAGCTACCCCATCCGCCCCTGTGCTGGAGCTTCAGACCCCAACCCAGGAGGGAGATTAGCTGGGCTGCCCCCGACCCAAGTATCTGCTTATTGTAAGGACTCGTTTCCAAGGCAACAGTACAGGAGAGGCACTTAGTGCTTTTTTACATCTGGTAATCTGGGTCTGCAGAGGTAGGTTTGGCCATTTCTGTTAGTAGATTCAACATCATTTTCTGAAGAGCCAATTTGTTCGGTGAACAATTTATTTCCAGCAGCTAAATACTATATATCCTCAGAAAAGCTTGGAGACGACAGGAGTGGGGGCTGGGGCTTCCTGAGGGAATCAGGCCAGTGGGAAGGGCCTGGATATGGCATCTGTAGCTGGCAGGATTCAGGGCTGCAGTCACGAGGGCAGCCCTGCCATACCTGTGGGAAATGCTGCTTGTGGTGGGGCCTGGGCTCTTCCTCCCACAGTGGCCAGTGAGTCATGAGATGGAAGGACCTCAGAGGACTTGGCTCTACTTTGGGGCACCCCAGCTGTACTACAGGGCTGGCTAAGGCCTGCCTTGTACATTTGGCACAGTCAAAGGTCTGTTCATCTTAAAGTGGGGGCTTAGGGGTGGTTCATGGACATTTATATAGATCTTGGATGCTCCCAGTCTTCCCCAACACTTTGATGGCATATACCCTTGGCTGTGGTTCCCAGTATATAGAAAGACACTCCTGGCACCCAGCACCTTCCTAGAGCAGCATAGGCTGCACCAGAAGGCAGCCCCAAGTACATGCTCTCCCCTGTGAGCATATGACACCAGCTGTCCCCCAGGTTCTCTGCTTTCACCTGTTGGGGTGAGAAGGGGCTGGGAGAACCCTGTGATGGAGCACAGGTCTGTTCCCCATCTACCTTTATCTCCTCCAGCACAGGGAGGCTTGGGTACTAGGCCTATCAGCATCCCCCACCCTACTCCAGGCTCCGGGGCACTTACATGAAGCCAGAATCCTCACCCTCCTGGGTGTGGCAGGTCCCTCCATTTCCACATGGGCTACTAGAGCAGCTGTCCAGGGACATCTCACAGTCTCGGCCCTGGAGAGAAGTCAGTGATGAGGACCACAGAGAGGGAGCCAGAGGTTAGTATGAACTAAGAAACAGCTCAACATCTTAGCCTGCCTATGGCGGGGGTTGTCTGTACATTCTTTCATTCACTCATTCACTCATATACCCATCCATCCATCCACCTACTCATCATCCATCCATCTATGCACATATTAGGTCAGTGGTGACAGATTCACTTACATGCCTGTTCTAAGACAGGTCAGCAAACAACACACCCAGTTGTGCCTGGCCTGCCTTGCAGCACACAGAGGAACCTCCTCCTCTGGCATCAGCTTCAACTCACCTTGTAGCCGCTGGGGCAGGCACACTTGTATATCTCAAGAGGGTCATTGTGGCAGGTGCCCTGGTTCTGGCATGGGTTGGATAAGCAGGGATCACATTTGGCCTGAACTACCAGACTGGGGGGACCTGTGAGGACAGGGAGGGCATCAGCACAGCAGAGGGAGAGGGTGGCAGCACAGGGCCCACCCTGAGAGACCCAACCCTGCAGAGAGATGCCCTCTTCCCAGGAGATCTTGGATTATGCTGCACCTCCCTGCCCACTCCACCTTTCCGGCCTCAGAACCTTCTTTGCCACAAGGTCACTGGCAGCCCCTGCCTCACATGTGGCTATGAGGACCACATGAGCGAATCTGTAGCACTCAACACGTCAGAACTGTACACATGGCAGTTAGGGCCACACCACGAGCCAGAGAGTGGCAAAGTCATGATTGCTGATGTGTCTGACTGCCCCTGCACCTCACATTCTCAAAGGCAGTCACCCCAACCTGCTGTCCACTGAGCAGTTATCCAGAGATGGCCACTCAACAGGGAGTGATGTGGCAAGGCTTGGCCCTGTGGAGAAGCCACATGGGGGGAAAAGTTCATGTGCCTCCGGGCCATTCCTCTCTAAGCCTAACACAAGAAGAATCTTTCTTGTCACCTCCCAGGCTATGCAGGCTCCTCCCAAGTCCCTTTAGGATTCACTGGCTGTGGGAGAGAATGGAGAAGCCCAGCAGCCAGACTACCTGGGCACCAACTATAAAAACCATGAAGACTAAGTAGGGAAGGAAACCTGGGCACAGGGCTCAGCTCCCCCAAAGGCTCCTTGAGAAGGGCTAGCATATGGATTCTGTTGAAGAAACATGCACTTCAACAGAAATTAAAAGCACTTTCCATAGGACAGAGGCTGCTGAACAGACTTCTAGGTACAGTTGGGTTCTGTTCTTGACTCAGGTGCTGGTCCCTGGTGAAGTGAGTTAGTGAAGATCCAGCAAGCTCTTCCCTCATATCTATGTACTTTTTCATATGTGTGCTATATTTCAACAGAAGGTTAAAAAAACAAGAGCCAGGCATGGGGCACCAGCACTCAGGAGGCAGAGGCAGGCAGATCTCCGTGAGACTGAGTCCAGCCTAGAATACATAGTGAGTTCCAGGCCAGCTGGGGCTACAGGGAGACCCTGTCTTAAAAAAAAAGAAGTTAAAAGATGAAACAACTCAGTCCATCTCAGTAAATACCAAGCACACGTTAGCATAAACTGGCCTGCTCCCAGCAGCCACTAGTGAGCCAGTCCTCAGAACTGTTCCAGCTGTGACAGCTTCCTGCACACGGGGTGGCCTGGGCTTCCTCATTAACCTACAGCTGTCAGTTTCATTTCCTATGGTGGCTTCTGAGCCTGCAGAGGGCAAGGGCCATGCTCCAGTCCCCAGGGCCCTCCCCCAGTACTCCCTGCACACAAAGCTGGGCCCAGACAGTCACTCAGCCACCTGTCTCTGCTCCACAGGGTTCAGCAGGGCCTCTGGGGCTTGGGCCATCAGCCAGTCAGTCAATCAGTCCCTGAACAAGTACTTGCAGATGTCTGAGGTGAGGAGCCTCAGAGTCAAGTCAGAGCAGGCTGCCAGTCATGCCCTAACTCTATGTTCTGCAAATGTCAAGAAAACAGCAGCCAGTCCTCTGGCCCCACCAGGGATGGAGGAGGACTTCAGCTAATTGTCCAGCACAATGCCTATCAAAGGGAGGTCTGAGTGTATGCACCTCCGGGAGGCTGGGAGCTTCAGAGAACTGTTGCTATTTTTATTTCCCTTACATAACCACTGGGAGGAATCAAAGCCCTGGTGGCCTGAGATTTTCTGCCTGGCTTTTTTGTTCTTAATGTCAAGACTGGAAGGCAGCCATCCTAAAAAGCAGCAGGTGCCTCTCTCCTTATCACCTGACTCTTCCATCAGCGGGACACGGAAGCACAGAAGTATCTGGAAGGCCCTACCAGGCCTGGGCAAGTCCTTGGTAGCCACTGCCGTTCTCTCATGTTCCTGGGCTCACCTTGGCATTCAAACTTCTTGGCAGGTGTGGTGAGCAGCAGCTTGCCTTCCATGTCTGGAGGTCCAGCACAGCGGGCAATGCCTGGTTCCTTGTAACCAGTCTTCACCCAGCTGGAGAGCCAGCGAAGGTGGCAGTCACAGTACAGGGGGTTGGCACCAATGGCCCTGGAACAGGGAGCAGAGAAAAGCAAGCTTTCCAGTTTCGGGGGCTCTTTTGCTCACTGGGCACTTACTCAGGTCACGCCAAGTCCCATTTTAAGTTCTTTGTATGGCATCCTCATTACACTTTATCTCCATTCTACATGAGCAGACATTTATAATCAGAAAAGCTGAGGAACTAGCATAGCTCATAGAAAGGGGGTGCTGGGTTTAGAATCTGCATAACTGGGGACAGAGGCTCTGAACTCTGAGTTTCCATGCATGGGGAGGAAGCAGCCAGCATTTACTGCTGCAAGGAAATGGCTGCTGTCCCTGCTCTCATGTATCCAGTGCTCTCATTAACTCTACATGCAAGCTTTCTGCATCTTCAAGATGTGAAACTGAGCATTGCATGGAGTAAGTAATTTCCCTGCAGTCACATGGCTGGCCAAGGCCAGCCCCTAGATCCAGACCCAGGGCTGCTTTTCTCAGAAATCCATCCACACTTGCTTTTCTTTTCTTTTTGTTTAAATATTTTTAATTTTTTAAAAAAAATCTGTGTGTATGAGTGTTTTCCCTGCATGTATATAAATGCACCTGTGCATGCAATGCCATGGAGGCCAGAAGAGGGCAATGGATCACCTGGAACTGTAGTTACAGATGGTCATTAGCTGCCATGGGGGCACTGGGAACTGAACCTGGGTCCTTTGCAGGAACAGCCAGTGCTCTTAATGACTGAACCATCTCTCCAGCCCCCGTTTTTCTTTTCATTTTTAATTAAGCAAAGACCACACATGCATTCTCATTCAAGCCTCTTTCAACACTGTCTGAACACCATGACTTCTAAGTGCCCCTGAACCACATACTTTAAAAGGTTAACTTTACGTTATATAAGTTCACCTCAAGTTTGTTTTTTATTTTTGGGGGTTTTTTTTTTTGTTGTTTTTTTTTGTTTGTTTTTTTTTGTCTTTTTGAGACAGGGTCTCCCTGTAGCCCCAGGTGTCCTGGAAGTCACTATGTAGACCAGGCTGGCCTTGAACTCACAAAGATCCTCCTGCCTCTGCCTCCAAAGTGCTGGGATTAAAGGCGTGTGCCACCACGCCCGGCCAAGCTTTTTTTTTAAAGGCACATTCCAGTGTTAGTGGTGCAAGGACAAAATGGTACAACTCCAATTTCCCATACCATTGATTTTGGGCCTAGCAATAGTTTCTGGAAGTTTCTCCCATAGGTATAATTGTAGATGCACGTAAAGAAACCTGTGAGATGGTATGGTTTATCACAGAAAAACTGGTGCTGTGGTTTAAATGTCCTTTCCAAGATACATGTTGAAATTTGTCATCAGGCTAGTGTTGAAAGGTGGTCCTTTAAAACAGGGTAAGGTCAGTAGGGCCCCGGATCACTCCCCCAGGAGTAGACTAGCAGCCACTAGTGGGCTCTGTGGCAAAGGACCTGTCTGGCCTCATTTCCTCCCAGTCATATGAAAGCTCTCTTGAGCTTAAGCCACATCATCACCATGCTCCTGGACTCCAGCCTGCAGAAGTAGGAGCAGAATAAACTCCCCTCACAATCGCTTACCCTGTCTGTGCTATTCTTTTAGAGCTGTAGAAAACAGATTAGGACAGCTAGAAACTGCCGCTGTTCATCTGCAACCAACTGGTTAAATAAACTTCGCTACCTTCACAGTACACCCATTGCCACTGTCCTCCACGGGGGGACACAGGGTGGCATGGTCACCAAGCACATGTGTGTAGCCTTCCAGCTCTTCCCCACATATAAGCATGTGGCTCCTATCTGCTGCCCATCTTATCCAAGCAGCACATTTCTTGTTACTAGCCAGCATGCCTTGGAAATCTTCCAGGTCGGCATATAGGGATCTGCCTCATTTTGCCAAAGTGCTTTGTAGTATCTTTGGGAAGAATGGGCACCCTGTGGTTTAAGGAGCAATTTCCACTGGACACTTGTGGTTGTAATGGCTGCGAACACTCTGGTGCGTGCCTTCACCTTGACATTAGCATTCCTCCAGAACAGATGCCTGCGAGTAGAATCCAGGTGGCAGGGGAGGTACATATCAAGTATCAGAGCTAGCCCCTGCATCTGTAACCACTAACATCGGCCAGTAATCATCTGCACCCACCTGCATGCTGCCAGCCACCTCACCCTGTACCAATCCTGTGGACAAGCTCAGAATCATTCCTCTGCCACAGTGAGAGGTGTAAGATAGATAAGACATGATTTTAATGGAAAGAAGGAGCTGGAATTCTTTGACTTGGTAAATAGAAAAAGGATCAGTGTCTGAAATCCATCAGTATCAACCAGTTTTAAAACCATGAGGTTGGCCCTTTCCTCAGCTGCCACCAAGGTGCTTGGTCCTTCCGAGGAAGCTAAGGCCAAGTTGGAGTGAGGCTCTCACTTCATCTGGTAAATAGCACCGTGCCATAGTCTGAAGCATGGGCTCAGTGTCTGAGTTTACCTGCATCTACTCTGCCCTCATCCTGCACGCTGACAAGGTCACCATAATGGAGGATAAGATCAATGCTCTCATTAAAGCAGCTGGTGTCACTGTTGAACCTTTTTGGTCTGGCTTCTTTGCAATCCTGGCCAATGTCAACATTGGGACCTCCACCTGCAATGTAGGGGCTGGTGGACCTGCTTCAGCAGCTAGTGCTGCTCCAGCAGGTGGTCCTCTACTGCTGCTGCCCCAGCTAAGGAGAAGAAAGTACAAGCAAAGAAGGAAGAATCAGACAAGTCTGATGATGACATGGCTTCAGTCTTTTTGACTAAATCTCTTTTTAAAATGCTCAATAAAAAGCTGGACCTTTTGATCTGATAAATTGGGGCAAAGGAAAAAAAACCCACAAGGTTGTATGAGGTGTGTAAGAATGGGTATTCATTAGTTCATCAGAAGACACACTGCCACTCCCCACCTGCTTCTGTAGTACAGAGGAAGTGGACCCCGACTCCCCTGAGATGTGCACAGCCTGAGAGAAGTGGCTGGGGCTCTGAGCAAGAATCCCTCAAAATAGCACAGCTGATGCTGTGTGTGATCTTATGAAAGACGCTGAGCAATACCTGGACTCCAGCCGACCACAGCTGCTCCCCGCCCGGGTGACCTTGGGCAGCTTGATTAAAATCTCTGGGGCTCACTTTATGATTCAATAAAGAGTCTGGGATCAAGAGGGGAAGAGAGACAAGCACGTATAACCTAGAATGAGTGCCAAGGGAATCACGTAGCTCGGGAAGGCGGGCAAGTGCGACCTCGACATGTATTTAATTTTCTATCCTTGTGTGCTGACGGCATCCATCCTGGTTAATGGGATGGGTGAGACAGTGTCCTCTTCCCCCTGAGCAGTGCCAGAGCTTTTCAGACACAGAGGACATTCAGAGGCATTGAGTTATCTGAACTCCAATGTATAAAAACAGACTTCTTTATTTTTATTTTTATTTTATGTGTATGATCAAGAAAATGTGCCCAAGAATCTGACGTCACCCTGAGTGTGGGGCCCTTGATGTGACTCAGAGTTTCACATGCCCCCAGATTGACACAGATGTCCTCCATAAGAGGAGCAAAGCTGCACATCAGATGTAGGTATCCCTTCTCAACTCACTGATAAAAACCATGGGCTAGGTCAGACGTGGTGGCGCACACCTTTAATCCCTGTACTTGGGAAGCAGAGGCAGGTGGACCTCTGTGAGATCAAGGCCAGCCTGGTCTACATATCAAGTTCCAGGCCAGATGGGGCTACAGGGAGACCCTGTCTCAAAACAACAACAAACAACAACAACAATAACAACAAACCATGGGCAAAAGTCTCCTGAAGCTGTTCAAAATCATCCTGGCTTGCCCTACACAGGGACTTGCACCTGTCATGGTCAGACAGCTGCACCCCAGTTCAACACTTCAAGCTGTTGCTTATCTATGGCTGGCTTTCCCAGCTGAGGACCGCCGCACCCTCTTCAATAGTGCTTTTACTTCACTATCATCTGGGGACCACTTTTCCCAGTGGAAACTTACATGACATACATTTATACATTTTAATCAAAAGCTTTAAAAAATTCAAGCTGAGGGAGGAGGATTATGAGATCCTGTTTCAAAATACTAATTAATTAGTTAATTTTTTAAGTAAAGAAAACTGTGGAGGAGCTGGAGAGATGGCTCAGTGGTTAAGGGCACTGGCTGCTCTTGCAGAGAAGCCGGGTTTCAATTCCAAGCACCCACATGGTGGCTAGCAACTATCTATAATTCCAGTTCCAGGGGATCTGACACCCTCTTCTGAATATTATGGGCACTGTACAACAAGGGTACACTTAAACACATGCAGGCAATACACTCATACACATAAAATAAAAATAATAAATAAATTTTTTTAAAAAAGGAAAACCATGGGGCTAGTGGGGAATGGAGAAACAAGCCCAAGGAAGACATAGAGGGGGTTGGGGGTATCCACTCCCTCATCAATCCCAAGGCGCTGTGGGTTGGAAACATTCCCCAGCAAGATTATAAATAGCCCCACATTGTTGGTCTTTGGTATAACTTGGACATACTGAGACAGTAGCTGTCTGGTCTGCTCATGCCAAACTATGCCCAGCTTCTATTCTTGGAGCCTGGCCTAGAACAGCCTCTTAAGATCTGAAGCTGGCATAATCCTCAAACTATAACACCACCACCTGTGCCCCCCAACCCTCTGCCCAGCCTCCCATCTGAGCCTCTAGCCTTCCACCCAGCCCATTCCTGCCTCAGCCCCCAGCCCTCGGCCCAGCCCACTTCCCATCTGAACCCCCAGTCCTTTCTCATTCCACTTCTGTGTAGTTTATGTGTGTGCAGCACTGTCTCAATCCTCCAGCCCTGGAGGCTGCAGAAGAGGTTCCTTCAGGACAGGAACCACTAACTCCAGAGCTGGGCTGGACACTAGCTGGATTGGTTGGTATTAACTGAGTGAAGTCTGCCAAACACATGAGAAGGGCACAAACTCTCAGCTTAAGGGCATGTGGGAAGGAAAGAATCATTATCCTAAAATAGAATTAACTTGGTTTAGTGTAGTCCCTTTCAGGCCATGTTCTTATTCTCTCTCTCAACATGGCCGCACTATGTAGCTCAGCCTGGCCTTGACCTTGCAACCCTCACCGGTGCTGAGTTTACAGGTGTGTACCACCATGTCTGGTACCTTCTAATTCTTTGTTGTTGTTGTTGTTGTTTTTTTTGGGGGGGTTGGTCTTTTTGAGACAGGGTTTCCCTGTAGCCCCAGCTGGCCTGGCACTTGCTATGTAGACCAGGCTGACCTTGAACTCACAGAGATCTGCCTACCTCTGTCTCCTGAGTGCTAGGATTAAAGGCATGCACTACCACACCAGGCATGGCACCTTCTAATTCTTATGCCCATATTTATTCTGCATGTCATCAAATAATAAATTACAATGCTATAATTATCGTTAACTACTTACTGTTCCATCATATGGGCATGGTGTGATTTAATGAATCATTTCTACTGAATTTTCACACCTAAATCTGAGTGAACACTACAATATAGCTTTCTACTTATAGCAGAATAAAGACAGCAGAACACAGGATTCTCACAATGAAGAACAACATGGGGGAACTGTAGCCATAAGACCTCACAAGGGTATCCAATCATTTGCTTTGTGACATGACATTATCACTTACAAATGCATTAGGTCTGCCAAGCATGGTGGCACAGGCCTTTAATCCCAGCACTCGGGAGGCAGAAGCAGGTGAATCTCTGTGAGTTCAAGGCCAGCCTGCTCTACATAGTGAGTTCCAGGTCAGGCCAGCTGGGGCTACAGGGAAACCCTGTCTCAAAAAGACAAAACAAAACAAAAAAAACAACAACAACAACAAAAAACAAATGCATTACATCTAATAACAGCTCTGGGGCCAGGTGATCCACGGGCTGCAGATTGGGCACACCTGAGCTAGTATACAGTAGATATCTATTGATGGATAGATGGATGATGTTATAGTCTGGACCTTGAACATTCTCTCTGAACCCTTGTATTAAAGGCCTGGTTCTCCAGCCCTTGTCACTGCTAAGAGCTGGTAGAATCTTTAGGCAGTGGGGCCTGGTAGAAAAGGTTAGATCACTTTTTATAATATATAATAAATCCTTCAGCACTTGACTCATCCTTTCCCAGGATATATTTATTGAGGCAACAGATCAAAGAATAAACAGAGTTAGATGTAGTGATAAACACCTATACATCCCAGCACTTGGGAAGCAGAGGCCAGTCTCAGCTAAATAGCAAGCTCAAGACCAACTTGGACTATCTGAGATGCTATTTTTTTATTACAATAACAAAAACAAAATGAACGAACAGTGAGCTTTGGAAAACAGACACACCTAAGTTCAAATCCTGTCTCATTTCCTAGCTTTATGACCTAGAGAAACTGTTTAACCTTCCAAAACTTAGGACTATAAAGTGAAAAAAAACAACTGCCACCACCTGGGACACTTTCACAGCAAGCATCGCTAATCACTGGGTGCATTCCTCCCTGGAATCAAGGAGATGGCACATGGAGTCAACAAGACACCATGGACAAAGCACATAACACAGTGTTTGACTCAAGCAAATTCTCCAAGAGTGCAACCTATTTCCTCAGGTACATCGTTCTGAGATGTATCACTACTGCAGTGTGCTTAGGGAGGAGCGGGGAAATGTAGCCACATGAAACACGCACATCATTGTGAGATATACTTTGACTTTTCAGGTTAAAAGGTGTAGCTGGTGAGTCTCAGTACCGGGGAAACCTAGGGAGATGGTTGAGGGAATGAACTTCAAGAGAGATTCTGCAGACCCTAAAGGTTCTCTGACCTGGGTATGCCTGCCCACTTGGGCCCTGGATGTACGGTGGGCTCAGGGATGAGGGTCAAATTGCACAATCCCAGTCCATGGCCCACTGTCTGTATGCACTGCCATAGCCAAGGGCACTCAGAAGTGCCAGGGAGACATCTCTGTACTCATTCTAACCCTCAGAGTGAGGATGGCTCTGCCTCAGCCCGGTGTTTCTCTATTTCATCATTATTTTATATACAATACATAAAATAAAAATTTTGCCAACTTCACCATCTTCAATACTGGTTGCCTTCACCATGTGGACCAACCATCTCTACTCTTCCTAAAATGTTTTCCTTACCCCAAACAGAAACTCTGTACTCTTAGATACTTGCCCCCTGATTCCTCTTGCCCCAGTTGTTGGAGCCCATCTTTCTCCTTTCTGTCTATAAATTTGACTCTCTGGATCCCTCATGTCAGAGGACTCACACTTAAACTTATCCTTGGCCTAGCTCATTTCACTCAGCATGTTTTCCAAGTTCATCTATGCTGCAACCCCATCAGAACTCCACGGTCCTCATGGATATAGCCCACTGTAGGTCTGCCTCACAGTGTGTTGACTCCTCTGTGGGTGAGCACAGGCCATTTCTTTGGGAGCTGATGTGATAATGCCACAGTGGGCATGCACATGGAAGTGTGTGTCTGAGCCTGCTCTCAGTTTTTTTGAGTCTATATCTGGGTATGGAATTGATGTTTCATGTGCTCATTGTGTTTAGCTTGATAAGGAATCAAGCCTGTTGCTTTTATTTGTGTGTGTGTGTGTGTGTGTGTGTGTGTGTGTGTGTGTGTGTGTGTGTGTTTATATGCCTGTACACTATGCGGGGGAATCACACTGGCTAGGGCAAGTGAAGGGTCCAGCAATCAACAAACTCTTGTTACCTCCCTGCTGAAGAACTGCTCTTCCTTACCATGAACGTGTAAGAGGTCAAGAAGGTGCCAGGGGAAAGCTTACAAAGTCAATGTCAGAAGGTAACAAATTGTGATAATCTGGGGAACTGTGTCTCTTCCCTCAGATTCTGTTTAAATCCAAAAAGGGCCAGAGAACTGGGCTGGCATTACTCACAAGTGAGACAGAGATGTCACATCTGCAAAGATGCCCTCTTGAAGGGTGGAGATGTCATTGCCATGCAGAGACCTGAGGAGACAAGAGGTTGTTGGAGCTCAGTCCGGGGAAAGGATGGGAGGCCTGATGGAGGGACAGCTAGGCCCTCTGCTCATGCCATGGGTGTCTACTAGTGAGGAAAGGGCCCCCATCTCAGAGACCTTGTTCAGTTGTCCCCAGGGAAGGAAAAGGGAACCCTTATAGTTCAGACTGGCCACCCTGTGCCCCAGTCCTTCAGGAGGACAGACTCTGGTTTTGCCATCTAAATAACTTAATCACTGAATTTACATCATAAATAAGACATGTGCACAGATAGACCCTCACTAATCCAGAAGTCAGAAGTAGATGAGGCTTCTTGAAAAGAAACATAGCCAGCTTTAGGTTAGGGCTGGAGGAATGTCACCTTGACCCTGGTGGGGTCAGGGGCCATCATAACAGACATAACAGAATGCTTTGGTTAAAACTTTACAGTGAGAATTTGTAGAAAAAGCTTCTCATATTTCTGGAAAAAAATTTTCATTCTAAACAGATGTCTCATATGCAAAGAGCTCCCTTACCTTAGACACACCTCTCCTGCTGTACATGTGTAAACAAACTCAACATAGGGGTGACAGTCACCCTTTTCTTAGGTCATTTCCATTCATAACTTGGCTTCTATAAAAAGGCTTCTATGAGAGCATTCTGGCCTCCAGCCATTGGACCCAGTGTTGATGCCACTGGGGCTCCAGTGGAAACTTCAGACTTGAGAACATTTCTGCCCGCCAGGGGGTGTGGCTGGACATTAGGTGGGTAGATTTCCTAGAAGAATGAGTTGGGAGGAGACTTACAGCAGTCGCAGAGAACGGAGGCCCTGAAATGCCAGAGGAGGGATGCACTGGAGGGCGTTGTAGCTAAGAATTCTGTTGGAGGGAAGGACGAAGGAAACTATGTCAGAGAGGAAGGACTATTCTACCCAACCCTATAATAAGCAAGCAAGCTGCATCAGGGTCACGCTACTAAGTTGTTTAGCAGAATTTGTGTTAAGATTCTCTTTCTAGAACTCATATACTAACCACCTATCTCGGAATGATTCCAAATAAATGAACCCACTGGGAGCAGACAGGCAGATTAGCAAGGGAGTTGACATTGATAGCCCCGTACTAGACAGAGCACTGAACACAGTGCACTTGGCAGAACAAAGGAAGAATCACCAATTTGCACACAACACGGAAGGATCTCAAAGTAACTGTGCTGGGTGGTGGAAACCAAACAAAATAAGACTTCATGTTGTGATTCTCTTTACATGACACTCTAAAACACGTGACATAACCTGGAGCCAGCTGAGGCAGGAATGAGAGGCCCTCAGAGCTTTTGATTAGGGTGAGAGTTTCCTGCTCATGTGTGTATGTGAAAGCTTACCAAAATCATCAACTTTCTTGAGACAGGATCTTGCTGTGTAGCCCTAGCTAGTCTGATACTCACTATGTAGTCCAGTCTGGCCTTTAACTTGTGGCAATCCTCCTGCCTCAGAAGCACAAGTACTGGAATTAGAGAAGTGTGCTTCCATCCTGTTATCAAATTCTACACTTGAATATGAGATATTTGTCGCCTATTAATTATGCCTAAATAAAGATTTTTTTAAAAAATAAGAGAAGCAAGCTGTCCACAGCAGAGGAAAGGACTCAGTTGTCCCATAGCTGTCAGGTCGCTTAGATCAGCATTTCTTAAGCTTGGTACTGTTGGCAGTTTAGGCTGCAAGGCTGTCCCAGGTGCTGAAGGAGGGTTGCAGCCTTCCTGGCCTTTGCCCACTCCATGCCAGCATCACCCTCCCTACAAGATGTGACAACTACACAGGTTAGGGTTATGGTTGGGAAAACCATCCTGGGCCAAGGTGGCTTCACAGGCTCATAGAAGCCTTTCTATGGTCAAGTCTCACTAGGGAGGAATACTCAAGTGGTCGGGTTGTCATGAAGACTTGGAAACAGGGATGAGCTGACTAGCAGAAGCAGATAGAGAGCCCAGACAGGTCCTCCCTGGCTTCAGCCCATGCTCTGCTCCTAAAGGTTGGATAGGCCAGGCCTTTCCCAGGAGTTAAGCTCTCATGTTTGGCCTAAGAAGCACCCAGGAAAAGGCCTCATTTCCTGGCATATGATGTGTCATTTGAGGTAAGGGGAATGAGATGTACTCTTGGGCACCAGGCAACCTAAGAGATGCTGGTTACCACCTCTGACCAATGACTTGGGCTATTACTATGGTCAGCATGGAGTTTCTTAGGACATAGGCATAACATTTTCAGTGGGTCTCTGCTCACAATAGTCCAAGCTGAACACAGCCCTAATACCCATCATAGTAGAGTAGATAAGTATAGTATGGGCTTGCAGAAGAACACTACATAACAATGAACATGGACAGACAGCTGCGTGCACAGGAACTGATCACACAGGCATAGTAATGTTAAGCAAAAGAAACCAGACACAAAAACATCTATCCAGGATGATTCAATCCATATGAGGTTTAAAGTGAGCAAAATTAAACCATGTTGTTTAGAAATGCATATGCAGATGAAAATATGACAGAGAAGATCAAATAAATGATCACTGTCCATCAGAACCAGAGCTGCTTTGAGGTGGGGACAGGGTGGAGGAAAAAAGACCAGGAAGGGACTGTGGAAAGGCTTGGGGGTACTAACGTTCTATTTTTGATTTAGGTGTCCATACATGTGTTAGGTTTATGATGATTTGCTAAATGGCACATTTATACTTTCTGCGTTTTTCCACATATGTGTGATATTTCACAGTGAAAAGTTTGTTTTGGCTAAAAGGCCGAGAAGAGATGGGAAGAGTAGCCTGCATAGGGCCCTTATGAGTGACACCACACCTCCCATGTGCCAGATGAGAGGTCTGCATGGGGCCCTTATGAGTGACACCACACCTCCCCGAGTACCCGCTCAGTCCTGCAGACACTCACAGCGTGGTCAGCTGGCTCATGTTGGTGAAGGAGGAATTGCTTAGGGAACTGATCTTGTTGTTACTCAGGTCTCTGGAAAAATCAAGGATATCAGTATTTGAAAGGAAGGTCTCAACCCTGGCTCATTCTCAGGACCTCCCTGTTTCCCTTATCTGCCCTTGGTCCTTCCCCTGCCCACAGCCAAGGCTTCACTGCTCTGGTGTGTATGGGGAAGGCACACTGGGCTCACAACTGGCTACTGAACTCCCTGTGTCCCTCTCCTGCTTCCTGCCTCTCCTCTGCAGGTAGAGCTGCCTCTAGCCTCTTTCTACCACAGAAATGCTCCATCCACATGCACTGACCACTAGCCACCTTCCACCTGCCAGGACTAGCAGCCCTCTCTCTGGCAAGCACTTTCCCTGGCTAGTGCACTAGCTCTCTGACCTATGAAGCAGAAGGCAAGACCATTTTACAAATGAAGACCTGGAGTTTCCAGTGTCCTAGTGATGAACTCACCCAGGGCAACCCAGTGGGCCAGAGGAGGGCCAGTACAAGCAACTTTCACTATAATTGTCCCCACAGTCACCCACAATGCTGGGTGCAGAAGACCAACTACTCCCTCCTACCTAGCCTGACTGTGTATGTGTCCTTCTCCCCTGTGGTTCAAACTTCTAGCCCCTAGTAGGCACCAAGCCTCAAGATGCAAAGTCCCCACTGTTGTACTCCTTCAGTCCACTCTGGGTGTCCACAGTGATGCCCCTGGCTCCTGTCCCTGTCTAGAGTTGATGCTACCATTTCCATGGCCATAGCCTGTCCCTGCTCCAGAACACTCCTCTACCTGGAGTCCCACAGACACTCAATAGAGCCCAGCCTGGTGCCTCCTGGGCCTTGCAACCTGGGATTGCTGCCATGCTCTCCTCATTGGTATCATGATCTGTGCCTCTGTCATCTTTCACACCTGTCCCTTCTCCTCAGTTTCTGCCCATGTCAGCCAGCATCCACTGGCAGACTTTCGAAGACTTTCCTCTTACCAGCCTCCACCATGGGCTCATTATGCCCTCCTTCCAGCCAAGTCCTCATCAGCATCTGCCTGTATTGGACCCTATTGCTCACTGTGACTTAAGGAGCTCCTGCCCTCTTCCTGTACCCTCCCTAATCATCACCATCTGAGGAAGAACCATGACTTTGGGGCTTTCAGCTCTACCTGCTGTATGCAATTCTTGACTCTCAAATGTTATTAACCGATGCCCTCCTTCCAGCCAAGTCCTCATCAGCATCTGCCTGTATTGGACCCTACTGCTCACTGTGACTTAAGGAGCTCCTGCTGTATGCAACTCTTGACTCTCAAATGTTATTAACCATGTACCTTGCCTTCAGCACCCAGTGAACCTTGCTCTAAATGAATTCCAAATCCTCCTGTTGTTAGAGGCCTATTTCTTTTCTTGTGATGGGGAAATGGAGGTATTTCGACCCTAAAGAGGTGGTCTAACAGAAACAACTAGCCTGACATCCCTGTTCTGTCTCTCCTTCCCTCATCATATATATCTGGGTCACTGGCAGAGGTCAGGCCACAGAAAGGCTGGGGAGCTTGTAGTATGAAATCTCTTTCTCTGGCTCCAGCCTCTGTTCCATTCCATTCCATTGAACCACTCAAAGAACACTGGAGGGCATTGAGCAAAGACTGATAACTAGAGCTTCACAATGCTGTAAGCCAGTGATACTCAAAGTAGCTAAGCCTTGAACTGAGTGTCCCCAGCCCATGGCTGCACTGTTTTCACAGCAAAGCTTTCTCAACAAAGGAAGAGGTATATTGACTTGTACTCTGCTGGAAGTTCCTTATCTAAGAACAATTTCATTAAAACAGTTCTCAGACTGACACTGATGCACTGGCTGAACTTGGCTGAGCTCTGTGGTAAATCACACTATGATGGAATGTTCTCTGGACTTCTTTTTGATAGAATATGGCTAATGAGCAGATAAAGACTATTGAAGTGAGGTACTAATTATGCTGAGAGGCTAAGAGGAGTTGACCTTATTATCCAGAGGTTCAGTCTGACTATTTCCACAGGGTGGAAAGTGTAGAAGGTGGTAATAACAAAAGCAGGTATTGGTGTAAGATGTGGATTCATAGCTGCATTTTTTTGTATTTGCTTTGGGGGCTGAGGATGGACAGAGAAGCCCCACATCACTTTTTATTCATCCTTGGCTCCTCCCTTGCAAGGATGACCCATATCAAAAATAATTATCAGCCCATAAGGAGGCTTGGGGAGATGGTGTGGGCAATGCTGGCAGATCCAACCCATGAGGGCCAGGAAGAATGCAATTCCTAGTTCCAGCCACTAGATGGCAAACTAGCTCCTGGGCATGGGTGTTCCCTAGGGGAAGTGAGGGAAGTGGGGCTGGGGAATGTTACAAACAAGATCTGCCCAGAAATTAGAGATTTCTGGAAAGCTGGGGCCGTGGAGGTTGGATGCCAATGTTCCTCTGTCCTCTGAGATAGGCCTGGGATCATCAAGGGGCTTGGATACTCACACAAGCTGTAGGTACTTGAAGGTGGACAGCTGTCCTGGAACCAGTGTGAATTGGTTCCCATCCAAATAGCTAAGGCAGAACACAACAACGTGAGCCTTGGACACAAGTGTTTACACCCACAGCCCCCATGAGTTCAGACACCAAATCCCAAATCCCAGTCAGCGACGATATGCAACCTTTGCACTGTACTAGTGAGAGAGTTAAAGGAGGAGAAGGCAGTTAGAGTTCCAGGAGCTCTTGGACTAGCAATTTCATTAAAGGGATTGTTCACTTTGGTAGTTTTTATGATGGTAAAAAATAGGAAAAAGATATTCAACAAGGGATTTGTCATCTAGATCAGAGTTGATTCAGGTAACAACCATGTGACAGCAGGATTCTTCCTGATCGAGACATTGCCAAGGGGCAAGAGTAATGTTATTCTTTATTTTAAAAGTAGAGCCCTCAGAGCTGGAGAGATGGCTCGGCAGGTAAGATCATCACTACTCTTGCAGAGGACGAGGGCTCAATGTCCAGCACCCACACGGCGGCTGTAACTCCAGTTCCAGGGGAATCCAACACCCTCTTCTGACTGAGGGCATTGCACAACATGGGTGCATTTATACACATGCAGGCAATACACTCATACACATAAAATAAAAATAATAAATAAAATATTTTTTAAAAGGTAGAGCCTTCACTGTGAGGACTTTGCCATTAGGTGACCATAAAGAGGGGACCCGGGAAAAGGTAGAAGCCTTCCTAGAGCTCTTCTGGAAAGCCCTGACCTTCCTCCCAGTCAGCCAGGACCCACTCTTGGGCACCTCTTCCTGCTGCCAGGCCCGGCTGTTCCTGTCCACAGGCCTACACACAGAGTGTGCACCTGAGGCTACTCACAGTTCTGTGACATTCTTGGGGATGCCCTTGGGAAGAGCCTGAAGGTGCTTGTTGCTGCATCGGACAACCGTGTCCAGGCAGGCACACTCCTGGGGGCACTGTGGGCGGGGCAGGCAGCCTCCTTCCTCCTGACCTAGGGAGAAAGTTATGGAGAACTGGTCAGAGAGGGGCCTGGCTTCTCACTGTAATCTCCTGCAAGGCAGACAAGGCTCTGGGGCCTCTCAGAGCAGAAACCCCTCTCTGACACTGCCCTGGACCCCAGTAAGTCTCCTTTTTGGCTGTACACCATCAGCCAACACCACCAGGAATAAAAGCTTCCTGAGAAATTTCCAGGTTAAAACAGATCTGGGGTAACCTCTTCTGCCTCAGATCCAAGGGGGCCCCAGAGAGAGGAAGAGAACACAACCACCACTTCTAATAGTGCCTAGTACTGTATCAAGCATGTTCCCTTTCACGAAGCTGCTGTCATCTCCTGGGAAGCCCAGGCAAAGTCCAGCACTCAGCGCAGTGCCTGGCAGCCCATCAGCCCTCCAAATAGACAAGGTGGATGACTTTCCATTTCACTGGTATCTGGCGAGGGGGAGTGGCTGGCTTGTCCTCAGGCTGATGAGGCATCTTGAGGCCATTGATCCGGCTGATGCAGACCAACCATCATGCCATTCATCCATTTGTTTCTTCAGTAAAGATCACCAAGAGCCCTCTATGTAGCTATCTTTCTTCTGATTGGGTGCAGCAAAGGTGATAAAGAGCCATGGTCAGAGTTGTTGAGGACACGAAGAGGCAATTAGTGTGCACACTCTGGTGACAGTGCATTGTAAGTAAAGCTGAGCTCAGTAAGTCCTCAAAACAGCCATGGTGGATGTGCTACATGAACCACTTTTAGGGGGTACAAGAACTAAGGCTGGAGGGGCTAAGTAACTTGTGTAAGGTCCCCCAGCCTGGAAGGTGACACTGGGACTGGCCTTCCAAGCAGGTTGCCTCTGGAAGCTGCCCTCCTGACCACTGGATCCTACCATTTCTTTGATATGTTGTAGCATCAAAGAAATGGTCGCATCTTTTCCCTTCTAGGAAGTTATTCTGGCGGGGGGGGGGGCGGCGGAGGGGGAAATCATGTCATAGGAGATATTTGCAGTGGTATTCCTGGCAGCACAATGCATAATTGACCCTGGGACAGTTTAGCTAAATGTCAAGCCACAGAGGGTAGCTCAGTGGTGCCACCAGACCATGGTCCCTCATGGTGAAAGGTTTTCACAGTAGGCCCTGAAAAATCCTTCATGGGTCTTCATGTGCACATGGACACAGAGTAAGATCTGGAAAACCACACTGGGTATTGTTGACAGAGGCTGCCCAGGGGTGATCTCTCTCTCTCTCTCTCTCTCTCTCTCTCTCTCTCTCTCTCTCTCTCTCGTGTGTGTGTTTAAGGCAGAGGACAACCTCAGGTGTCATTCTTCAGCCTTGGTCTACCTTGCTTTTGAGACACGGTCTCTCATTGGCTTTGGCTTTGAACTTGCCAAGTAGGGTAGTCTGGCTAGCCAGCAAGCCCCAGAGATCTTCCTGTCTCTGCTTTCCAGGCACTGGGATAGTAAGTAAATGGTACTATACCTGGGTTTTGTGTCTTAACATGTGTTCTAGGAATCAAAGTCAGGTCCTCATGTTTGCAAGGCAAGTGCTTTACCAACTGAGCCATCTCCCCAGCCCAAAACTTACGGTTTCTTTTTAAAAAAATTTTTATTTTATGTGTATGAGTGTTTCCCTGCATGTATGTGTATACACCATGTGCATGCAGTGCCCACAGGGACCAGAAGATCCCCTGGAACTGGATTTACTGTTTTTAGTCACTATATAGATGCTAGGAACCAAACCCAGGTTTTCTACAAGAACAGCAAGTGCTCTTAATTGCTGAGCCATCTCTCCAGCCCCCAGACTTTTCCTTAGGTAAAACAACATTTTCAAAGACTAATCAGTCAGAAGAAAATATGATCAAGATGTATAGTTAAATTAAAAATGAGAACTAATAAGATCATTAAGCTATTATATAAGTTGTCATATAATGTGAGTATGGTGACTTACTCTTTCTTTCTCTTTTTTCCCTCTTTCCCTTCCTTCCTTTCTTCCATCCTCCTTCCTTGATAGGGTCTTACTATGGAGCCCTGTTTGGCCTAGAACTCTTGATACTCCTGTCTCAGCCTTCATTGTCCTGTGCCTGGTTTAAGATTTTCCTTTTTAATTTTAAAAGTGGAAAGCAAAATTGCTCTTAGAGAATCCATTGATTTTGCTTAGGCCTTTCTCAGTGTGAAAGTTGAGGCCTCCCCTGGGCTCTCCCTCATCTCCACATGGCCCGGCCGGGATGATCCTAGAGCTGAGGCACCCTCTGAAGTGGCAGGAGGGACAAGGATGTGGAGACCAAGGACAAGCACCCAGCGCCCAGCAGCTGGTGTCAGTCAGAGAGGAGCTCCCTGTTGGAGGGGAGCACACCATGGAAGGGAAGCTGTCTATGGAAGGGGCTGCTGAGAGACACTTTAAGAACAGGGACACCTCAGGCTGGAAAGATGGCTCAGCAGTTAAGAACTTTTACTGCTCTTGCAGAAGACCTAGGTTCAGTTCCTAGAACCCACACAATGGCTAGCAACTGCCTATAGCTCTACTGCCAAGGGATCTGATGTCCTCTTCTGGCTTCCAAGGGTACCAACATGTACATGGTGCATGTACATACATACAGGTACTCATATATGACACATAAAATAAATAAATTGTAAAAAATAAGAACAGGGACAACCGAGATGGAACCTTGCTTTGCTACCCCAGGAAAACTCTGTTTCCAACAGGAACTTTGGTGTGTGAAGTTCAGAAAGAATCAAAGGAGGGGCTAAATCCTGCTCATGAAGGGCACAGGGAGAGACTGAGAGCATGGACAGACAGGACATTAGAGCACCAAGTGACAGGTTCCCACACATGGGGGATGGGGCTCAAGGGACTCCTGTTGTGTGTGAAGGACAGGGTGGCCCCATGAGCCTGGAGCACTTGGGGTCAGGAGCTGGTCTCTTGGTTAAACATAGTTACATAAGGAAAAACGCTGGAGAGTCACTGCACTACTCTCAGTGATGGAGTAAGAGGTAATGTCTATTGCCTTCTTCTACCTATGTTTTCCCATTTTAAAAATCATGAGTACATTATCTGTCTTGAATCTACACAGAGGTAGCTCTAGTCAGGGGTGTCTCCTGTCCCCTACCCAGAGGCCCATGGGGTGCTACCTGCCCAGTGCTTCTGGCCAGCTCTACCCTCTCCCTGCTGCACAGCCCATGGTGACCCAAGAGTTACCTTCCTCACACTTGAAGTCAGGGAAGGCCACGTCCTGCAGGGGGATCTGCCGCAGGAAGTCTGGGTTCTGGCAGCGTGGGTTCCCTGTCACAATCTTCCTCTTTCTCAGCCAGTCACCCAGCCAGGCTAGCTGGCAGTTGCAGTTGAAAGGGTTGGCCAGGAGGTTTCTGGAAGAGGCAGGGCATGTGGTCAGGAGGATACTGTGCTGGTCTCAGCGAACTCAACAGGGCCTTCTCCTGTCCAAATTCTGGCCACACAGCCATCAGATGGCCTTCTCAGACAACTAACAATTACCTAGATAACCAACTTTCAGGACTGAGACAGAGCTAGCAGTGGAAGTCATGTTTCAAGAAACCAGAAGGACCCACACTTCCCCTAAGGGAGTTCTTCAAAGGTAAGACCCAAGAAAACCACCTCCTGGGATGCTGAGTAGGCTTCCAGGGCCCAGAACTATGAGCCTGCCCACGAAGGCTGGGACTCACAGTGTGGACAAGGCCTGGAGGGTGTCGAAGGCTCCAGGGGAGATGGTAGTGATGTGGTTATCATAAAGTGACAGGAGCCGGACATTTCGCAGCCCCGTGAAGCTGTCGTTGTGGATGCAGCTGATACGGTTGTTCCTCAGCATCCTGGGGAGGAGAGATGAAGAGAGAGAGGAGGGAGAATGCTTTGAGAACTAGCCTTAGTTCACCTGGATATGTGGTACCAGTCACTGCCTGCTAGTTTCCATACTTCTCCAGAGCCAATCAGCAGTCCAGGGGGGCACAGTGCAGGAGTACATCTGCACATCTGTTCTCCCCTCCACAACCTCCTTCCCTGCCTCCAAGGTCTGAGATGCCTCATGGCTCCACTTCTCCTCTCCATCCTACCATCACACCCTGCAGGCCCAGAGTCCCTCCCCTAGTACCCAGGGCATCTCACCATCTCTAGGCCACACTCTACTCAATGCCCAGGAACACATCACTGTCCAACTTAAAGCCCATTACTGACTTCTAAACTGTTCACAGAATAAAGCCAAAACTTTACCTTTTGAGAGGGCCTTTGAGAGGGCATCATCAACGCCAGACTACCTTCTCAGACTAGTACCCTCATGCCCAGCCCCCTAGGATGCCTTCCCAGAGTGCCTTTCTCATCTCTGTCTAGAACAGCCCCCATTACTCATCCTCCAAGACCTACTCAATTCTCACCCCCACCCCCCAAAATTAAAGTGGAAACCAAGCCAGCACAGGGCAGGCAGTTCCCAAGAGAAATTAAAATGGTCACAAACATTCACACAAATCATGTTTAGACTGATTGGTCAGTAACCAAGGACGTCTAAACAACTCTGAGTTTCTGCCTGTCAGACTGAAGAAGAATTTAAAACATAACCATCAGAACACCAGCTTCAACCAGAGTGTGAGAAAATGGGCACTCCCACCCATGGTTGGCAAGACAACGACCAAGGCCTCTTGGACACGCATTTGGTGAGTTGCCCCAGAATCTCTGCAAAGTTCCTTTCCGTTTCCACAGGTTGGTCCACTTTGAGGATGTCATCACAAGGGAACACTCACAGACGCACATAGAATTTGGGGTGATAATCACAGCACAGCTCAAACTACAGAATTAAAAACAACTTAAGTGCCCAATAATTGCATACAATTATGTTTAAAAGAAATTTTATGACCTATAAAGGGCCCATATTTAAGAAAAAAAGGTTACGAAACAAAATTTATCAGAGAATTCTACCAAAATATATCTGGGAGCTGAGCATGGTGGCACAAGCCTGTAATCTCAGGAACTTGGGAAACTGAGGCAGGAGGAACACAAATTCAAGTCCAATGTGGGTTACACAGGGAGGCCCTGTCAAAAAAGAGGCAAAAGAGAATGAGGAAGAGGAGAAGGAAGAAGAAACATCAATCTGTGTGTATGCATGTACATATTTCAGCTGTACAAAATGAATCGTTTCTAAAGATTCCAGTGTAGCACAATGCCTTTCGTAATAATATGATGTTATGTCCTTTAAATTTCGCTAAGGAGTGAGATGTTTGCCATTATTATTATTATTATTATTATTATTATTATTATTATTATTTATGTGTGTTTGTCTGAATGAGTTTGTGTGCCGTGTGTGCCAGTGCCTGTGGAGGCCAGAAGAGGGCATTAGTTCCCCTGAAATGCGAGGGAGTTACAGGTAGTTGTGAACCACCATGTGGATCCTGGGAACTAACCCAGGTCCTCTGCAGGAGCAGTAAACACCTTTAACTGTTGGGCCATCTCTCCAAACTCCTTGTTAGATTTCTTATGACACTAATAATAATAATAATGAAGACAGGAGTAACCTTCAGAGAGGCTAGATACATATATTGCATAGACTGTGATGATGGTTATTCAAGCCTATCTATATTGACTTGTGTGCCTGTGCACATATATGTGCCTGTGCATGTATTACATATCTGTAAGATTATAGATATATGTAGCTAAAGATTACAGATATATGTAAATAAAAGATGAGAAGGGCAGCTGTTTGCACCAGTGATTGACACTGGTCATTTGTGGATGGTGCTGGAGTTCTAGGTGTTTCTTTTCCTGTGTGTTGTTGTCCCTCATGGGCTTTTGCTGCCTCTGTCCCCACACTGACCTTTCCCAGGCCCCTCTGTTCCTCTCTCTCTTTTTTAAAATAATGTATTGAGAATTTCATACAGGGATATAAATATATAAGGTGTTTTGATCAAATCCATGCCCACTCCTTCTCCGCCAACTCCTCCCACATCTCCCCATCACTTTTTTTTTTTTTGATAACTTCAGGTACTCTTTCTTCTTCTTTGATTTATTTTTTATGAGGCTTTTGGAGACTCTAACATTTGCCCCTCTGAAGAGGTAACTCTAAAATCTTTTAAGGATTGGATAAGAGCTCCCAAATACTTTTGACATTTTTGGCCTTTGGAATGGAGTATGTTGCTAAGAGGCCCAAGGACATTTTGACTTTTAGCCAAGAAACTGGCTACTTTTCTTTGGGGTCTTTTTACACTAGCTGCCTAGCCAATTCCGACCTCCTATTCTTATCTTTTATGGTGGCTGCATCAGCTCTTCAGCCCTCTACCTCCTATTCTTATCATACCATTCTCTGAAGAAGTTACCCAGCTTGCGGATAGGGAATCAGGACGTAGACCGCTCTGGCTTCTTCCATGCTGATCAGGGATGCAGGGTGAGGAAATTGGGGTACCCCTTCAGTGGGTCTATCTAAAAGACTCCCAAATTGGATAACTCTTATCACCATGTGGAGGCAGGATCTGGGTGCTCTCAGGCAGTCCCCTGCATTCTCAGCCCCTATGCCAGAGGGAGGCCAGAAACAGGCACTTGCTGGTGGTCTGCTGAGACCATAGTGCCTCTGCTCCTCTCTTGAGTCTTCATCAGAAAAAACACAAATGGCTGATTAGATCTCCCATACCACCCAAGAAAATCCGGGCAGATGTAAGGGAGAGGGAGTCAGCCAACCAGGAGCAACATGGAGAAATGGCTACGTTAGGCAGCAAAACACTGCCACATAAAATCTTTTTTTTGCAAAACAAACAAAAATCCACAGGCAGCTTTACCCCACACACATTATATTTCACAAACACAACATGTACGCAGAAGACAAATCTACACGGTGGAGCATTCCTGGGACTTAAATCTGAGCAGGTGGCTTCTAGAGCTGGGTTTTCCAGTATTGCAGTCACTGCCCATCTGCAGTTATCTATATTGAAATGAGTTGAAATTAAATATATTCCACAGCCACATGTAGCTCCAGGTTGGACAGCGTAGATAGGGACTGTCTTGGGAGGCCAATAGGACAGACAACTCTTTATACTGGATATTGATTAGCTACGGTGTCACCTGAAGAGCCAGCATGCCTGGATGGAGAGGCTCCCAGCAGCGGTCATGGAAGGGTGCTCACCCCAGGATTTCAGTGGGCTGCCCACGCCTGGAGAGCTCCATCTGACTATGGGTCTCAGAGTCCAGAATTCCCAGGGGTGGTTCAACATCCCTGTACTGATATCTACACCAAGTCACCTGGCAGCACCTGCTTTCGGCCACCCAGCACTCCTGCCTATGGTCACTCCAACCATTCCTGATAATGTGCCATGTTCCCAGCAGCCCAGACCACAGGTCCCTCCATTCCTTCACCAGGCACCAGGCCACATCCCCAAAACACGAGAGGACAGGCCTCACCACAAATTAACACAAGAGGGATCATTTATCCTACCAGTCAGACTCATGATGGCCCCATCCTGCAATGGGGGGCGGGAGCAGTAGGGAGATCATCTCCCACCCCTCTTGCCCTTTCCCTCTAATGCATATGCCCACCTGGTGGCTTTGCACCTCCAGCCCCACCTACTCACAGGGTCCGCAAGCCATCCAGACCACGAAACATGCCACTTCGGATAGACTCCAGCTGGTTGGCAGTCAGGTGCAGCTCACTGACAGATACTGCTCCCTCAAAAGCTCCGTCTTCAATCTCTGACAACTTATTGTTGCTCAGGTTTCTGGGAGAGGAGGCAGGGGAGGTCTGTGAGTCCCATGCACCAGGAGTCCCTCCATCCCTTCCTGTACCCATCACTCGTGTACACAGGAACCCTACCCCTGCCCCTAGTGGGTGCTCCCCACCCCAGCCTTTTCCTTTCCATCCTTGACCAGCATCCTGACAGGCACCTTTCTACCAATGGGCAACTCACATTTTTTTCAGATGTATAAGTTTCTTAAACATCCCAGTGGCCTCCAGGATGGAAATCTCATTGTTGTTCAAACGTCTGTAAAAGACAAGGGATTGAACAAACACACCAATAAATGGTGGACTTAAAAGTGCTTTTTGTATTGAGATTATGGAATGCAAACAGAGGGCCAACTGACCCCATTTCGAAGGAAAGCTGGGCCTGGCACTGCATGGGGAGGGATGTGAATGAAAGGACAGCGAGATGGGTTGGAGGGGAAACACCAAACCTGCATTTGGTCTCTGGGACCAATGTGGTAGGAGACAACTACTCCCCAAAGTTGTCTTCTGAGGACATGTACACAAAATAAATAATGAAAATTTTTAAAAAATGAAAATTTGCATAGATAAGAGACAGTTGTGGGCAGAAATCTGCATTCAGACACAGGTGCACAAATTCACATTTTTAGATAAAGGAAAACAATAGTTAAGGGGCAACTTAAGCTCCAGTTTTAGATCCTGGATTCCTGTCTCCTTAGAAGTCAGAAGTGCTCCCAAGGAACGCCATCCCTGGTTCAGGCTGGTGACCAGCCCTGAATACCAGAGATTCCTCAAAGAAGGCAGAGGCAGGGGCAGTGGATAAGGGCTGCATCTTGCCAAAGCTATCTTCCAAGTGGTGCCTACCATGATCCCCAACCCTCCACCCCCATGGAGCTGGCCCAGGGGAAGCCCCAAGTAGGCCCAAGAAGGTTAGTGGGTTCCAAGGGTGGGGAGTTTGGGCAGCACAGGGGCTCACAGCTCGGCTGTAGACTGGGGGATGCGCTCAGGGATCTTGGAGAGCTTCAGGCTGGAGCACTCCACCACACTGGCCTCACAGCGGCACTTGTGGGGACAGGCCACGTCGCTACTACACTCGCTGTTCAGCTGGTAATCCTCTGTGCCTGTTGCAAGAGCATAGCGGGGCTGAAGGCCTGAGCAGGCTCCAAGCAGTTGAGGCCCTTCCATGGGCTCCCAAGCCACCATCCTCTCAGGCTGGTCTGGGTCTCCCCTTTCCTACCTGGAATGAAGTACTGCTCTTTGGCTGGGGAGAGAAGCAAATGTACCATGATGTAGGAGCAGCCAGGACAGCCCCATGCCCCATAGAAGGTACCCCAGGAATGCAGCTGGGGCCCTGCCAGGGCTGTCCCCCACACACCTCAGGCTCATCTAAGTGTCAAAAGTCTTACTCTAGAGTATATTCATGTCCCCAGGTCAGTGCTAGACAGAACCACAGCCAACTAACCCTCTCACTTGCAGTGGCACAGGCAGGTACCATGCTGACCTTATAGATAGCAATTGGATAGGGATGGCACCAGGCCCCTGGACCAAGATCCAGTCTCAGAAATTGACCCATATTGCCCATGGCCAGATGTCAAGGGAACTGCACCTGCTGAGGCCTGGAGGAGTCTCCTACCTCACTGAGAAGCTTCTCAGGCCTTCAACACAGTGACACACAAAAGACTTGGCCTGGGAGCAGAGGGACAGGGTACTCTCCCTCCAGGGCTTCAGCAAGCTCACCTCCCCCAGGCCTCAGTAAAGTGAGGGGTAAGACAGGAATAATCCTATCCAAGTTGAGTGAATGCAGGGCCCACACCCTCCAGTGGGCTCCAAAGTACCCAAGGACATGCCACCAGGACATATCCCTGGTCCTTGAGCCAACCAAAGGCAGACAGCTGGCTACTACCTGAGCACCGGAACTTCTTGCTCTTGATCTGCCCGATGCGTTTGTTGGCAAGGCGCCGGGGGCTGGCACAGCGGGCCCCACTTGTCTCAATGGGGTTGGTGCGTAAGAAGTCTGCCAGCCACTTGAGGTTACAGTCACAGATGAAAGGGTTCTGGGCCAGGTGCCTGTCCAAAAGGGCAGGTGGGCTATCAGAGATCCGGGCTTCCCACCTGTACTGGACAGGGCTTTGTAGTCAGATGGGGCTGAGCTGTTGTTGGTGTGTACCCCTCTATCTGTGGAGAAGTCCTCCAGCCCATCACAGTGGAAGAACCTCTGAGGCCTGGGGTTTTTTAGAGGAAAACTGGCACTTGCTACAGAGCCAGTTCCACTACCCCCCCAAGCCTCACTGTTACCTCTGCCAATCCTCCCTTCCTCTTCCCTGGGACACCTCATAAGCATGAGCAGAAAGAGGGGGGATCTAGGGGGACCTGCAGGCTGACATAGCAACCCATTCCTTCCAGGGAAAGAAGCTGAGGCAACAGAACGCCATGCCTTGGTCTTTGGGCCTCCTCGCACCATAGTCTAGGATTTTTCCTCTCCTGCAACCTAGGGGCCAGGGTGGTGAGGCTGGGCCTGCCATCATCTCCCAGTTGTACCTGGAACGATTATCCTTAGCCCAAGTGACAGTGGCACCTCTCCTTGATCAGTTTCTAGATATTTCATGACCCTTGGAAAGCTCAGGAAGCTACCAGGTGGCTACTGTCTAGGGAATTACTGTCACCAGCAGGTGATAAGGTGACGGTGAAGGGAGCAGCTGACAGCAGTAACTGCTATGAGTGAGCATAGGGCAGCATTTCCATTCAGAAATCCCGACAATCTCAGCAGGTTAGATCCAGGACTTCTGAACCACACCATTGGTAAGACTGCCCACCTGTATCTGGACCACCACTGGACTAGGTATGTCCTGCAGGGGACCGTCAGTGCCAACTCAGCCACTGTCCCAGCTGCCACCCTTGAAGCAATATTTATACACAGAATACAGGGGTGGGGATGAGTGGTACAGGGTAGGGCCACCTATCATGACATGGGCACTTCTCCATCTGACAGGCAATCAATCAGGCCATCTCACTTACTGGCCTCAGTTCAGTCCCAGGATTGGGGCTTCAGAGCTCTCAAAACCCAAGTGCAATTCTATCTCAGGGTCTATGTACAGACTTTGGCTGGCCTCCTCCTTAACCATCACTTCCTGGGCCTGGACTTTTGGCCCTGACTTGCCATGCTAGTTGGAGTCTGACCCAGCTTTCTCGCCATTGTTTGCCTGAATCTAGGCTCCTCTCAACTTTACCAGATAAACCAGGCCCCTCCCCTGACTCTGCATCCTGTTCAGTGCTAGAAGGATGTGGTATTGACTTCCCAGGAAGACAGACTATCTGACACCTGGCAGAATCTGGGGGTGGCTGTGGGGCCTCCCAGCTTCCCCTCATCTCTGTCTGGCCGTGAGCACCCTGCCTCAGGTGAACTGATGTTCCTCTTTACACTACCCTAGCAGAAGCCTCTTTCCGATCATGTCACAGCTTAGCCTATACACAGCAGAATATGCACTTTTTGAAAACAGGTTATTTGGGTGCAAAACAACAAGCAAAACTTGAAGGGCTCACATGGATAAGTGGTTTCTATACAAACAAGTTTGGAGACAATTAGATTTTGTTGTGTGTGTGTCTGTCTGTTGCTAGGGTCTGAATCCAGGGCCTCATGCGTACTAGGTAGGGCTCTACCCATGAACAATACTCCAGACCCAAATTGGAGGTTTTGTTTGTTTATTTGTTTGGTTTTTAATTTTTTTTATTTTATGTATATGAGTGTATTGCCTGCATGTGTGTAAGTGCACCCATCTCGTGCAATGCCTGTGGAGAAGAGTTCACAATGGCTTCAATGTGAAAAATGACTGAAATGTGCTTCAACCCAGAGGGTGAAAAACATGGCCTCCCCAATGCAGTGGAACATTATTTAGCAGTAACAAAAGACACTTCTCTGTCTCTGTCCTTACCAGTAAAATCAAGCATGAAACATACAAAATGGATGAACTCCAGGCCACTGTGCTAAGTGAAAGAAGTCAGTCCCCAAAGGTCACATGTATCATTCCGCTTTATGAAATGACCTGAAAAGGGAAATACCCACTGCAGAAAGTAGGCTACTGATTGCCAGGCACTGGGCTGGACATGGTCTGACTGTAAATGGTCACAAGGGATTGGGAGCCATGGATGGGAACCTTCTAAATTGGATTGTGAACAGCTCTGAGAATTTATGGAAAGTTGCTAGGTTGCTCACTTAGAACAGGGGAACTTTATGTACTTAAGGTGTACCTCAATGAAGCTGTATTTGTTTGTTAGTTTGGTTTTAGACCTATCCATTGTTGTCCTGACTTTGAACCCTTGGTCTCAAAGGATCAGCCTCCTAACTGGCTAGGATTATAAGTATGCAGTGCTTCTTTTTTTTTTTTTTAATATTCAATCTCCTGGCGCTGGAGAGGTCTCAGCAAGGCTAAGAGCATTAGCTTCTCTTGCAGAAGACTGGGGTTCATATCCTAGCACCTAGATGGTGGCTAGCAACCATCTGTAACTCTAGTTCCAGGGGATCCAACCCCCTCTTCTGTCCTCCTTGGGCACTGCACAATACAGGTGCACTTACACACAAGCAGGCATAACACTCATACACATAAAATGAAAATGAATTTTTTTTTTGGTCTTTTGAGACAGGGTCTCCCTGTAGCCCCAGCTGTCCTGGAACTCACTATGGAGACCAGGCTGGCCTTGAACTCACAGAGATGCACCTGCCTTTGCCTCCCGAGTGCTGGGATTAAAGGAGTGCACCACCATGCCCGGCAAAAATAAATTTTAAAAATATTCACTCTCCTTGGACAAGCAAAACTGCAGCAAAATCATCTCTATGACTCAGAGCACTCGGCCCTAAACTTGGAACTGTGGACGAATCAAGCTTCTTTCACTTAACATAGTGCTTTGGGGTTTATTCATCTTGTTGTATGTTTGATCCTTGATTTGGTGAATTTACTTCTGGACTCAGTCAAGAAGCTGGGCCAGTCTAAGGCTGTTGTACCTTGGATTTGCATGTCTTTTGCTTTGTTCCAAGTTCTAATTCAGTTATTAATATGAGCAAGTGCTCATGGAAATCTTGCTTTGCTTTACAGCCTTAAAGCTTGGGATCCGTTCCTACCAAAAAAGCACAGTTGGGACGGCTAACTGATTTCTCAATGACGGTGTCTGCCTTCTCTATGAGTAAAATCAGGGCTGGTAGGTCCTGCTGTAAGTGTTGAGCAAAATAATGCATCACATCTAGAGATGAAAAATGATGTAAGGGACACATCAACAAGTCTCGGTCAATCCTATTGCATAGGTCACATCAAATCCTGATTCCAACAGAGCATGAAAATTGTATAATGCACACAAGACAAGGAGAAGTTCAAACACTAATTTAGATATTTGATACTGTCAAGGAATTAGTTGTTAAGCTTTTCGGTGCAATAATAATCTTGCAGATTTCTGTTCATTTCACGGTACTGAGGATGGAACCCGAGCCCCATGAGAACGAGCCACGTGTTCTGACCCTGAGTACACTCTCAGCTTTATTGTTCAAGAATCCTTGTCTTTCAGAGATGTGGTGGCAGAATGAACACAGGACAGTGATGGCATTTAATTCAAAACAGTTTGGGTGGTGTGGATGGGGGGATGGAGACAAAGCAAGACTGGGCAGAAGTTAAAGATGATGATGAACTGCTTGGATTCACTGTACTGTTTCTAAGATGCTTGTAACTTTCTGCAACAGAGTGCAACCAATAACTAGATTTGTTGATCTCTAATTTCTCTGTTTTCCATCTGATTTGACATTACCACTTGAAAGTATACTATTAACTTTATGGACTGCCAAGGATGAAGAACATGCTGGGGGAGGAATGGGGAGGAGGAGAGGTGCTTACAGAGTCTGGATGGCCCGCAGGGAGGTGAAGGTGCCCTTGGCGAGACTCTGGATCTTGTTGTCATACAGGGACAGCAGTGAGAGATTCTGCAAATCTTGGAAGGCATCAGGCCGGATGCAGTTGATCTTGTTGGCGTTCAAGAGCCTGTGGGCAGAGCCAGGGCAGGAAGTGAGGGAGTGGCAGGGATGGAGCCCTTACACGTCCTGCACCATACTGGCCCTGGGCATTGGTGACCTCAGAGAAGAATCCACAGAGCAGGCCTGGTACACTGGCCCTCCTTGGGCCACTCCCAACTGCCTTGTCTTTTTCTGCCTGTGCTTTGGGTCCTGCAAGTCTGCCACAGGACAGCACAAGGGCACAGGGCCTCTTCCTCCTTCTCAGGATCCCACAAGTTCCCCATGCCCATACAGTTGACGGAGGTGTTTAGATTCCATGTTGTCTTTAAAAGACATTTCTGCTCTAAATGCTTGTGTCTCCAGGAGACAGAGTTGACCTGGGGGCCTCTACAGGGGACACTCTTGTCCCCAACCATGCTGAGCACCTTAGGATCACAGGTCACATCTCATAAGTCTCTGTCCTGTACCCAGCAAGTAGCTCTGAGCAGACCTTACTTCCCCATCCGGCCTCAGCAGAGCCCTGGGGCCTCACAGCCTTACTGGGGCAGCCTGTCTTCCATGTTCCTGTCTCAGGTTAGTCTTATACCCCAAAGATGTTGAAAGCAGCAGTGTGGTATGAGCTGCCCCCCACGCACCATGCACATACATACACACACTAATAATTAAACAAAACAAAACCAGCTGGGTGTGGTGGCATTCGCCTTTAATCCCAGCACTCGAGGCAAAGGCTGAGTTCAAGGCCAGCCTGGTCTACACAGTGAGTTCCAAGTCAGCTGGGGCTATAGGGAGAAAAAAAAAAAAAAGAATAGAACTTTGTGACTAAGGAGAGTTGGAATATTGAGGATTCAGAAACAACTTTTCATGGACTGTCTTTAGTTTCCTGAATAGCCATCAATTACCCACCCCAGTATCTGGCCTATCATCCTTGTGACTATCAGGGCAAACCTTTGGGGATATATTAATGGACTCCTAGCTTCCATGAACCCAAAAGCTAAGAATATCATCAGAAGCACCTGAAACTTTTAGCAGAGACTTCCTTGCTCTCCTGTAATCTGCATACGTGATGTTCCCACCAGTGTATCTGAAAAGTGCCTTGACTTATGTCCCATAACTATAAAAATTTCATGGGCCCATTTCCATGTTGGAATGTGTTGTGTGAGGCAACCTGGATCCATGCTCCCAGGCCATGATCACTAATATCTGGCTCAAGAATAAACTCTTATTCCCTTTTATGTCTCTGGGGAGCCAGAGGAACATGGACCCCACCCAAGAACACCCTAGGCCTGGTCCTTACAGCAGCTGGAGGGTGTACAGGCCTCCAAACACACCGCGGGGTAGGTCTGTGATCTTGTTGCCATAGAGAACCCTGGAGAACAGACAGAAGAGAAACAAAGGGCAGTTGGCCAGGCCCCAAGAGGGCTCTAAGGTCCGCAGGCTATTCATTCACAGTGCAGCCTCTCCACAGTACATTACTATAGCAGCTTGCCAGAAGGTGGCAGTAAAGAGTCTTAAAGGGCCTGTCTCCAGGAGGCAGTGCCCTCTCAACTAGGGCTATGTCTAGGCACTCTTGATCCCATTGATGCACTCACCCATCTGCCCATACACACGGACCCCACAGAAGCCTGCAGAGGTGCCCTTCCAGAGAACCTCATGGGAAAAAATCTTGGTCCAGATCCAGGGAAGAGAAAGTCCCCAAGCAGAGAAGACTTTCAAGATGAACACATTTTCAGAGAATCACAAAAAAAAAAAAAAAAAAAAAAAAAAAAAAAAACAGACTGACAGAATGGCACATTCCAGAGATCTAGGTGGCAGGATTGCAAGTGGTGTATTTTTATACACCACTTTGATATTTGCAGTTTTCCACAGTGAACATGAATGAATTCCATGTATAATGAGAAAGGGAAACCGCACAGTGTAAAAAAAAAAAAAAGTGCAGACAGGAATGACAGGAATGTGTTCAGGCAGTCGGTGATGCATCGCAGCAGTGGGGGAGGGTGCATTCCATTCCCACTGTAGGAATCCACTCCGGTAAGCATCAAGTCAGAGTAAAAACCCTGTGTGCTTGTGTTGCTGCATCCTTCCCAGAAGAGGGCACGATCCACTCCGGTAAGCAGCAAGTCAGAGTAAAAACCCTGTGTGCTTGTGTTGCTGCATCCTTCCCAGAAGAGGGCACGATGGGAGTAAAGGCCCTGTGGTGGAGACCACACCCCACACCGACAAGTGCTGACAAGGCCATTATGACTGGAAGAGAATGGGTCAGTGGTCTACAAGAAGGTGTTGAGACATGACGGGATGCCTGTCTATAAGCCTTGCCTCAGGCTTCTAGGTACAGAATGGAGTAGAGAGGAAGCTGAGCAGAGAGATAAGATCAGGGCTGGCCAAGGTGAACGTAGACAATGGGGCTCCTGTGCTTGATCCTAGCATGCAACTTCCTATACAGCAGGAAGTGGCCTTGACCAGGAGCCTGGAAGGGACAGAAAGCCACTTAAATAAGTTATTGTAGTGTCACCTTTTAGCCCTCTGACTGCCTGGGGCCAATGTAAAATCATTGTATTCATATCTCAGAGGAAGAGCCCACATGTGGCTAAGAGCACGAGGGCCTTGGTGAAGCTGAGTGTGAACATGTGTTCTTGGGAGGAGTTGGGGCTGCACAGCATCACACACACACACACACACACACACACACACACACACACCAGCAACCCAGAGAGGTGGGAACACTGGACAGAGGTTAGAGAAGCACCGTCCTGCATCATCTGCCACATTTCCAGGTGGCAACAAAGTGGGCAGGTGTTGCTACTAGAGCTAGTAGTACTACTAAAGCTACTAGAGCACCCTCTGAGTGACTGGGAAGGTTCAGGAGTCTTCTATGGGGAGGATGGACCAAGATGACCGCAGCAAAGCATGCTGGGAAAATTTCCCTCCTGGCAAGAAGAGCATCCCCATTGCCAGGACAATGTAGTCTTCTCTTCCTGCACTCAGTCCCAGGCTCTCTTCCCAGTCTCCATGCTGCAGAGGGGACACCAAGCACAGCAGCTCTGGGCTATGCAGCCAGAGGAGCCTTAGTGAGGTTGGGCTGGGAGGGCTGTGCCAGGGCCCTATAGTCTGACTCCTCTTCCCACACCCACTGGAGGGCCCTGGGCTGTGATGGCCCCCACAGACCTCCTGAACTACCCAGCAGGCTTTGGTGCTTCTACTCACAGGGAATTCAAGGAACGAAGACCCTGGAAGGCGTCAGGTGCAATCTCAGCGATCTGGTTGTTGCTCAGGTCACTGCAAGAGGAACAGGAGAAGGGTAGCTGCATCCTAAGGTCTGGTGTCCTCTGCCTCCCAGCCACATGGTGAGCAGGGGTTCTTAGCAGAAAAGCAGGGGCCAGTTTCTTTCCCAAGTGAACACTCCATGGGCCGCTCTTTCTCTGTGCTTCCAGCTCAGGAAGCGACTGGCATCCTGACTCACAGCCCTAATTCCCAGTTGGAATGGGAAGGTGATAAACAGCATGGTCATGCTTTGGGCATGGGCCAGGCTTGGGCTCAGTGGCCCATCCAGGCCTCATAGCCACCCTGCCACCCCACATCCCAGACAACAGCCTGATACAGGAAAGCCAGGAGGTAGCCCTTGCCCTCAGTGTGTTTGCTGAGTCAGGGCCTGTCTGGGGGCTGTGAGGCCGGACCCCTGGCCCAGGCTCTTCTTCCTACCCACTGGTAACTCCCAGGAAATTCTGCTACTCACATCCTGCGCAACTTTCTGTAGGGAGAGAAGGCTCCTGGGGGGATGGACTTGATACCATTCAGTTCCAGGCGGCTGCAGGGAGAAGAAAGGCCTGAGAAAGCTGAGAATCATCCTCAGCCTTGATGGGAAAACAAGTTCTCAGCCCCTGCAGCTCTTCCCCTGTGGGCCTGAACAGGTCTGACATGTAGACCAGCACCTACTGTGAATTGGGCTCCTACTGTGAACTGGCATTCCCGGCTTCCATGATGAGAGGCCCCCATGGTGATGCTAATACTAGAAAGCCAGGATGATAGACCTACCAGGTTGGGCTGGACATGGACCACCCCCTCCCCACTACTTGGGAACTTCCCAGCTTTGTATAGAAAGCTCAGGTTGGTCAAGGCTCCATTTTCTCCATTTGCCACTGAGGGTCCTGGGGAAGCCCTGGGTGGCACCCACCCCAGCTCTTCACTGGCCCAGCAGAAGAAGCCTGTGTTTTGGCCCCTGCAAGGCCCTGCACTCACATCTCTGTCATGGTTTCCGGCAAGTTGGCAGGGATGGCAGTGAGACCTTTGCCACGGCAATCCACAATGCCGTTGCTGCAGGTGCACATGGCAGGGCAGGAGCCGGAGGAGAGGGTGCAAGTGGGCACACGTGCTGCCTCCCCCTGGCCTAAAGAGACAGTGGGATATGATGTCAGAGTCTTACACAGGTGTTCCCACCCCCAGAACTGCTGCTGGATGGGGGCAAGGGCACAGAGGCAGAGTCTGTGGTGAAGACCAATCCAATAGATCACTGAGGCTTCAGGAATAGAGAGAGATTGCATCCTGTATGTGCTTGGGGGGGCATCTGGAAATTTCTGGACTCTTCCTGAATGGAATTGACCACCTCTAAGGGTTATTCCTAAAATAAGAAATCCTGGTCTAGAATTCTGAAGCTCTGCGTCACTCAGACCTCCTGAGCCAGGGTTCCCACATCCACTAGAGCTTTGTTTACTGAGCACCCACTCTGCCAGCACTTTGTTCAGTTCGGTCCACACAGTCTCATGTAAACCCTCCTGTCCGCCTTTGTAGGAGCACTCTGTCATTGTCATTTACAGGAGAGGAAATTATGTTCTTGACATCCATCAATTGGTGGAAATTCAAGCAGCTAAGTGCTGAAATCAGAGCCAGGCCTAGTGTGTGATGTCAGAGCTCATATAACATACATGCAGCACAGTCTTAAAGGTGCTCCTGGTTGATAAGGCACATTTCATTCCCAAGAAGATTCCTGGCCCCTCCCTCACGGTTACCACTATTCTGAGACCTACCACCAAACATTCATTACTCTTGTTTGTGAGCTCCACCAAAGTGTAATCATATAATATGTTGTCATCTGGGTCTGACTTTTTTCACCCAATATAAAATCTCTGAGATCTACCATATTGTGTGCATCAGTAGTTTGCCCTTTTTATTGCTGAGTAGTATTCCATTTGTGCCCATATCATCATTAGTGAATCCACTCTCAGGCATGTTTTTGTGGAACAAATGCACACAACCAAGTAGTGGAGTTGCCAGACCACAGGGTAGACATGCGTGGAGGTTCTATGGGATCTGGGGTCCCCTTATTGAGAGCCAAGGGGAACCATCTATCAATGCGGCTGGGGGGATGTGATGGGAGGAGAGGGGTAGCACTAGGAGTGGACAAGGAGGGAGAAGAGGAGAGGAAGGGAGGTGATGGTGAGAAGGAGCAGGAGGGGACATGGTGTAGGAGCAGGACACGGGGGACGGGAAGTAGAGTGGACAGAGGATGTGGGGGAAGGACACGGCCAAAAGGTGGGTGAAAACAGAAGGGGTAGTGGGAGAGGGGTGATGGAGGACAGGAGCAGTTTGGTGAGTGGGGATCAATGGGTGCTTAGATGCTCATGGAGGGAAGCAAAGGGAGGGGCAGGAAGAAGAAACAGGCAGGAGGAGGTGGCAGGTGAGGTCGAGGCCCAGAACTCACTTGAGCAGCTAAACTCATTCTTCTGTACCTCTGCCACATTGAGGCCTCTCAGGCTGGCAGGCCCAGAGCACTGAGTAAAGAGCCCGATGGTGGGTCTCTGCCTCAGCCACTGAGAGAGCCAGGCCAGGTGGCAGTCGCAGAACAGGTGGTTAGAGTGCAGGCGGCTGTGGGGGGAACAGGTAGCTTCCAGCAACAGAACCCCCACCCCACCCCCACCCATCAGCTGTGCCTCCTCCCAGCTCACTGAGCTCACAAGACCCCTTGGCCAGACCATCCACACCATCTTCAAGTACAAAAATAAGTCGTTTTTTTGTCCAAGGAAAACCAAGTATGAAGGACATTGGATACCCTTCAGTTCTGACTCCCTTCTTCCCAATGGCTCGTTGGACCCAACCTGGCTGGCTCCTGGGCTGAGGAGGGCCGCCCCCGCCCCCAACCCCACTGCAACCCTAACCTCCTTTGCACTGGGCAGACTCACAAGGTCCGGAGCTTGGGCATGTGGTTGAAGCTGGACACAGGGATGGTGGTGATGTTGTTGTTGTTCAGGGTCCTGAAAGGGGCAGATGGGCCACTTAGCACCCGCCCAGCAGGGATGTACAGAGGGCAGGACCTGTCTGCTCATGTGGAGGTTCTCATGCCAGGTGTGACATTTTTCCTAGAGGGAACCAGCCCTGGTGTGGGCGTGGGGGTGGCTACACCAGGGAGCAGGAGACACAAGCCCTGCCCTCAGCTGTCCTGCCCTGTGCTAGGACAGTGACTCCAGTCTTTCACACCGTGAACTCCAAGCCAGGAAGGACAGGGAGACAGAGGACAGAGCCCAAAAAGGCCACTGAAAGAAGGGCAGCTTGCACAGGGAGAAGGGCTGCTCCCAGCCTTTCTGGAGGGAAACTTCCAGACACCCCGTCTGAGAGACTTTTGCTTGAGCAGCAGGCATACAGCTAAGGTGTGACTCCAAGAGCTTGGCCTCCTGCACCCCCAACATCAGTGCCTCAGGCAAGGCTTGTGACTGCCAGGTCAGGACCTGCTTTGCTTTTAGGTTTTACTTACAGCAGGACCTGCCCTGCCTCGCTTTTGGGTTTTACTTACAGCACCTCCAGGCCCCGCAAGGCACGAAAGGCTCCTTCCTCAATGCAGCTGATCTGATTCTTGTCCAGTTGTCTGTAAAGCAAAGGAGAGATGTGGGGAGGAGGAGCACTGCCCAGAACAGAGCAGGGGTGCTAAACACTCTGACAGCACACTGCATTATTTAAAAGAGCCACAGCTCCCATCATTTGGCTGTGTGTGTGGTACACACCTTTAGTCCCAGCATGAAGGAGGCAGAAGCAGGTGGATCTCCGTGAGATTAAGGCCAGCCTGGTCTACATAGCAAGTGCCGGGCTAGCTGGGACTACAAGGAGACCCTGTCTCAAAAGGCAAAAAAAAAAACAAAACAAAACAAAAAAACCCACCACCAACAACAAAAAACTGAGTTTGTTTTCAGTTAAAATACTACATCTAGATAAAAGCCATATTGCATTCCTTTACCTAGCCTGGTATGTCCCTTGGGAAGCAGGCAGCCCTCCCTCACATGTTGGAGACGAGACCACCTAGAGTGTGCTGGCAGCTGACAAATGAGTCACCCAGGGGCAGCGGCAGCTAGAGCTGGCAGCCAGAGTTCTGGTGAGTGCCAAGTGAGACTGGCCAGCGCTGGCTACCTGGAGTGCTGCTTTCAGAGCATACAGAAGCTGTGATCTGAGCTTGGTGGGAAAGAATGCGATGATCCATTACCAATGTCTGCTAGATGGGAGGGGTGTGTGTGACAAACATTCCAGGCCTTTGCCAGCCCTGCTGCAGTCAGACCTCGGGAGGTGGTAAGCCTGGACCGGAATAAGTTTGAATACTAATAAACCGTTACATTTAAGTAGCACTCAACAGAGTGTACATATCTCCATATCTCATTTCAACCTCTTGAGAGGCTGCAGAAAGCACGTTGTCATCCCTGCTTTCCTAAACAATATATAGAGGCTCAGCCAGTTGACCTGCAGCAACAAACCCAGCTCCAGACTCAAAGAGAAAGAGGGCACTTGGAGGGCTGCAGGCCAGGAACACTGCCTGGCACCCCACTGCTCACACTGTTTTCAACCCAGTCCCCAGGATGTCCCCACATGCTCAGCTTTCACCCAGAATCACACCTGAAGGAGAGACATCGCCTGACCCTTCCAGACTGTTCAAGTCATCTCCAGTTCCAGGCCAGCATCATGGTGGCTTAGACCATTTGGCCCAGAGAAACCCATGAGGATGCTGCCACGGTGGACTGGGCCACACACCCTCTGTCCACCCAGGCCTGTACTCACAGGTTTTTGAGGTCTGTGGCTCCCCGGAAAGCCTTCCTGGGCACAGCCTGGAGGGCATTCTCACTCAGGTCCCTGGGGGACAGAGAGGAGGACACAAGTCAGGACAGCCATGGTAAGAAATGAGACTTGGGGGCTCACAGTGACCACATTCTAGCACCTGGATGGTCCCAGTTGTTCTGTAAACTGCTGAATGAAGGAATGGTGGAGTTGGAGAGGCGCTCTCCTCCCTGTCCCCAGCCACCTCCCCTCTGGGCAGAGGGTGGTTAGAGAGAGAAGCTCCCCCCCCACTGTGATCAGCCCTAGCAGCCCCTGCCCCAGTCAACTGAGCCCCACAGCCCCACACAGAGCTGCAGATGAGGGAGTGGAGGGGCCTCTCCACCACCCTCAGCCATCCTAGCTTTCTCTTTGTGTTTTGTTCTTTTGCTTGTGAGAGAGCCATGACTACGGAGGAGACAGTACAGGGAGGCCCACCCAGTCTTGAACGGCAGGCTGGGTCTGACTCCAAACCTTCTGCTCTGGGGGACTGCAGAGGGCCAGGACAGCCTGGGCCCAACACCCACTTCCCACTGACCCAGGGGCCATGGCGCTACTCCCAGTGGCACCTGCTTCGCAAGCAGAGGGTAGGCTCAGCACAGACTCCATTAGGCCCTTTCTAAAGGTCCTGGTGAGCTGTGTTATTACAAGGGTTCCTGTGCACCGCATACCAGTTTCTATATGCTTTCTCCAACTCCCCTTGCAGGACCAGGCTTCTACACCAGCTTTTTGCCTTTCCATGCCTCTCCTGACAGCCTTACCAGAAACCATGCAAATGCCTCTCTGTGTTAGCCTGCCTTCTCACCACAGCAGGCATGTCCTGAGGGTACAGGAGGCCCGTCCTTCCCCAGCTTCACAAGACTCACTTCACTACAGCTTCCACAAGGCTCCATTGCCCCTCCCCAAGAAGGCTGCCCCTGAGTTAGCACAGGCTGCCACTCAGGTTTCCCTACCAAGATAATAAGCCTGGGCCAGAGAGCTGGCTCAGCAGGTCAAAGCTCTTGCCATAAAACCTGATGACCTGAGTTCTATCTCCAGGAACCACAGGGCAGAAAGAGAGAACCAAGTCCTACAAGTTGTCCTTTGACCTCCCCATGCATACTATAGCATGTATGTGCGTGCGCACACACACACACACACACACACACACACACACACACACACGGGTGAGGGGTGGTTAGAAAAATGTAATTTAAAATTGTAATTTTTTTTTTTTAAGAAGACAGTCAGAATCGTCCCACTGAGTGTACAGGGCCCTGGGCCAAGTTGGCATTGAGCCTGGCTCTCCTGTCTATAGGAGACCTGACTATAGTCTACAAATCAGCCTCTTACCTCCCATGATGGAGAACAGGAACAGAATGGGCATGAACATGGCAATAGATCATACCAGACATGGTAACTTTTTTCCTTGCTCTGTGCTAGAACCCCCTTCCTGGGAGAAGCTGGCCCCAGGTCATGAGGACTCATAGCATCTCTCTAGAATGGTCCTTATGGAGAGGAACTGAGGTCTCTGCCCACAGCCAGCCCCCACTGGCCCACAATGTGAATGATCTGGTGAAGAAGCCCATCCTCCAGCCTGGCCAGGCCTTTGGACTATGCAGTTCCAGCCAGTTCCCCGCACCCCCACTGGCAACCCAGAAACCCAGATCACCAATTCTCTTTGTTCTATGGAAGCAACTGATGACACAGCCACCAGTGGTCACTTCAGAGGTGCTCAGGGGGAATGCCTGCAGGCAGTGAGGTCCCCCAAGAGGGTTTTTGGAAGGGAGGGACAAGGCATGCTAAAACTAAATGTCTTTGCACCAACACAGTGCTTAGATGTGTGGCCAAGGCTGCATGGCTTCCCCTCGTTTCCTTATGTGTGGAAATGCTTTCTAAGTCCCCCACCAATGGGGTCTCCCACATGTGAAGACCTGGAAACACATGCTGTGGCCCGAATGTTTGTATGTTCAACCCCCATTCTTACACTGGAAACTAGTTACTGAAATGATGACTCTAAGAGGTAGGGTCTTTAGAAGGGGGCTAGTCCAGGGCAAAGCTCTTAGGAACACAGTTGGTACTTAATAGAAAGAGACCTCTGAGGGCTGTTGAGATGGCCCAGCATGCAAAGGCACTTGCCACCAAGCCTGACCATCTGTGTTGGATCCCAGAGACCCACATGGTAAAAGGTAAAAATCAACTCCCACAAGTTGTCCTCTTACCTCCACACTGTGTGCCGAGGTACATATGTCCATACTCCTCCTCCCCCCCAACACATATGCAATAAATAAACAAACAAGTAAAAAAATGCAATAAGAAAGTTTTGAAGAAGCTTCGAAGAACTGCCTGCCCCACTACTGTAAGAAGACATTGTGATTTCTGATTTCTGTGAATCAGAAAATAGACCTTCTCCATATTCCATCTTCTTGAGACTTGACTCCCAGAACTGTGAGGAATAAACTTCTGTTATTTATAAGCCACCCAGCTTGTGGTCTTTTATTACAGTAGCTTAAATGGACTTAGGCACATGTCAAATGAGGGGCTTGCCTCTTTGGAGCCCTTGGTATCCCAGAAGCGAGGGAGCACTGCTAACAGAGGCATGGAGGGGCAGGGGAGAAGATGGAGCAAATCACCAGTGATCTGTCCACAAGGAAGCAGGGAGGGCCTGTCACATAGGAAAGACAAGGGCAGGGAGGTGATGCTCTGGAGAATGTGGGGGTGCACAGGCAGATAGCACCTCTAGGGAGCCCCTCACCTCAGCCCAGCAGACTTCACCCTCAGGCTGCTCCTCACATCCATTATTCTATTTAATCCTCTCCACAGCCCTGAGAGGAAGGACTGTTACCTGGATTGATTAGTCAGTCCACCGAGCCTAAATGTGTTCCATGCAGGCTTTAGAGTGGCTTACAGGGATGACAAACCAGTGAGAGCGGGAGGGAGGAATGGACAAAGAAAAATCAATGGCGGGTGCTCCAACTGTGACCCACAGGCCTGAGCAGGGGCTCAGTGTTCCCAGAGAGCCAACAAAAGTAGGACTGGCAGCAGAGTGGAAACGGATCAATGTGTCAGGAGCATGGCTGCCTGGGCTCTCAGATGAGAATTCTCTCAAGGGTCTACGAAAAATGACAGTGTGGCCTCAGCGGCAACGCTGTATCCTTACAATGAATGGGTTTCAAGTGTTTCTTATAACATTGTGTCACAGTGCTGCTCGGGAAATCAGTTCTGTGGGGATTCATACTAGGAACTAAGCAAGGAATGAAGGCAGGGAGAAGCAGAGAGGCTGGGCAGAGCCTGGCACCAGGTTGGCTAGAGAAGGTGATGGTCCAATGACTTTGTGGACATTGCTCTGGGGCATCAAGACTTCCAGAGTAGGTGGGTGGGACACCAAGAGCCTTAGGGTGGATGGGGATTAGTGACTTTTCTGTTGCTGTGATAAAACATTATGATCAAGGCAGCTTACAGAAGGAAGAGTTTATTGAGCTTATGGTTCAGAGGAAGAAGAGTTCATCATGGTCGGGGAGGCATGGCAGGAGGCAGCTGGACCAGAAAGCTGAGCGCTCACAGCTTCAAGCAGGCTCAGGAAGTACAGGAACTGCAAATGGGAAGAGGGACAAGGCTGTGAGCTCTCAAAGCCCACCCTCAGTGTCGTGCTTTCTCCCACAAGGCCACACCTCCTAAACCAGTGTAGACCCCAGCCACCTACTGGGGCTAAGTGTTCAAATACTTTGAGCCTATGGGGGATATTTCTCATTTGAACCATCACAAGAGGTAAGTAACCTCACTTGGGAAGCTCAGGCTAGTCCAGGCCAGCCAACCTACAGTAGAAACCCACTCCTCTGTCTAAGTAACCAAAGGGAACACCCTGAAACCCCCAGGAAAGCAGGAATAGGCAAGTCCTAACAGCCTCAAGAAAATGCAGGGAGTTGGCATCAAAGGGGGTAGTGGGAAGAGCCTGAACTTGCAGCAAGACTTAGGGGTTCAATTGCTTCTTCTTGTGCACGTCCATGGGCCTGGGGGGACCTGGAGAGGTTTGTGGAATGGGCATAAAATGTCCACCACAAAGGAGCTGGTGAAAGATTGTGTTTAACCTTCTGCATTTAACGATATTCAAGAATTAGGGATTTTGTTCTTTTCCCTAACGCTGCAGTGTTGTTTCCAGAGTAGCCACAAGGGGGCGCAAGAAGCCTTCCCTGAACTTTTAACAGTGCCTGCCTGGCTCTCCTGAATCAGGCTGGTCTCCCCTTTTTGCTCCGCTCAACTTTTTGCCTGGTGACACTTGTCTTTGCCAAACTCTCTGAGATAAGCCCGCTTGTCTCCATTTACATCTGGCCTTTCCTGGAAATCCCCACAGCACCGTCTGGACCTTTCCCCTGCCCTCAACCTTTTCTGTCGCCTTCAAACTTAATGAGGTTGCCCCACCCTCCTCCACGGTGGCTGTCTCAGGGCCCTCAAAGTGAGGAGAATGGCCCCCGGGGAATATTGGAAGAATAGGGGACCTCCTGGGATAGGAAAGGCTCTAGGTAGCAAACCTATACCAGCACATGACCTAGCCCTGGCAGAGGAGGTGGAAGTCACAGAGCCCCGAGCTAATAAAGAGGAGGGAAGCAAGACCATGACAAGAGGCAATGCATGCTGGGAAGCTAGGATGTGGTGGAAAATCCCCACCACTGAGTGGGGAGAGACCCAGGCTCAGCAAGCCCTGACCACCCACTGGCATCATGAGTCTTGGGCAAGTGACCTTCACTGGCCTCAGTTTTCTCCTCTACAAATAGAGATGAAAAAGGCTGTAATGCCTACTGGTCCTCCTCAGCTGACCCCTTCCTTCAGTTTCTTGGACCCCTTTGGCCACAGGGTCTTTGAACTTGCTGGGGCTCTTCTTTATCCACCAGAAAACTCCTTTAGCTTTCTTATCTCAATTCACAGACATTTCCCCTATCTCTTAACTGTTTCCCATTCTATAGGTCCAACAAGCCCTTGTTCTTCTTCTTCAACACCAATTCAAAATTGCAATGCCATACAGGTGCACTGAGTATAACAACATACTGATATTTGATCAACCC